TATGTTTGTAACTCGTGATGCGCCAGTAGAGTCTGATGCCTAGAGCCCGGGGCAGCCTATCGGCAGAGGATGAGGCCATTTTCGGTATTACTGTTCTTTGGCCAGAGCTGGAGAAATTGTATGTACAAGTCAACTCGACCAGCTCATGCAAGCAAGCAGTAGTGTAGTCGGTATCCTATCCACTGATCACCAGAGCTAGGGTCGGTGAGATGGGTACCTCGGCGGGCCTTTACTAGACGGGCCCTCTGCAGGCCCGCCCCGCAGGCACCGGTTCACCAGATATGCAGGCAAGACTGGTCACGATTGCTGGACCAGCCGGCCGGCCAGTGAGGTTGGCGGACGACTCTGGGGAAGCAAGGCAAGCGAGTGCAGGCGAGTTGGGCTGAAACATGGGCTGCGTTTCAGTCGAAGCTTGGTGTTGCTGGCAGCGAGGGCATGGTGGGGCACCGCTCTTTGCCCCTCACTCTCACCGCAGGCCAACTCTCTTTCTACGAAGACGGAACCGCTGCTGTCTAGTCTACGTAAGTTGCTATTGCCCGGGTTTATTTATTTGGCCTTGCTCCCATCTAATCTTCTATTCCCATCCAGCAGAAATCCATCCACTCTTCCGCGACAAATAAGCTGTGTTGAGCATCATCGTCATAGTTAGCCCTCCTACTAGCAACCCCTCGAGCTACGTCAACACCAACAACAACAACACCGTCCCGACGTCGCCATGGTTGAGCGTGCGAACCGCCCTTCTGCGCTAAATGCGCCCGCTGCTACAGGTCCTAGTCCCCAGGTCGACATTGTGGGAGAAGCCGGCAGCCAAAAGGTGGTTGCAAGACTACCATCTGGAGAGAGTGTCGAGGTACTGCTCTATGGAGCCACAGTCACCAGCTGGAAGAGCAATGGCGGCCGGACTGAGAATCTGTGGCTGAGCGAAGCCGCCGACTTGACGGGCAAGAAGCCAGTTAGGGGTGGAATCCCTGTCGTGTTTCCGGTATGCATATATATATATAGCTGAGTTTGGTAACGAGCAAGAGTAGCTAACGGCTGTCGTCAGGTCTTTGGCCCACCACCCAAGGAAGGCCACCCCACGTCCACGCTTCCCCAACACGGCTTCGCTCGAGGATCACGATGGGAGTTCATGGGCAAGTCCACAGCCGAAGATGCTCTCGACTCCAACTCGGTCAAGCTCGACTTTGGCCTCGATCGCCAGGCACTCAGCGAAGAGTCGCGCAAGGCATGGCCCCTCGACTTTGGCCTTGTATACAGCGTCACACTGAGCAAGGACAGCCTACAAGCAGTGCTCACGGTCCGCAACGAGGGCGAGGAGAGCTTCGAGTTCCAATTCCTGCTGCACACGTACTTTAAGATCCAGGACATTTCCAAGGTTGTGATCACTGGCCTTTCCGGCACAGAGTACATTGACAAGGTTCTCGACGCGTCGATACACACGCAGAGCGATAACCAGCTCAAGATTACGGGCGAGGTTGACCGTGTCTACAAGGACATCAAGCAGGACACGACGTCGATTGTCGAAGACGGCAAGCCCCGCTTCGACGTCATTCGCGACAACGTCAAGGACACGGTCACATGGAACCCGTGGATTGAAAAGGCAAAGGCCATGGGCGACTTCTCGCCCGATGACGGTTACAAGAACATGGTGTGTGTCGAGGTTGGCGCGGTGGATGGCTGGCAGAAGCTGGAGAAGGGCGAGGTGTGGGAGGGCGGCATGTTGCTCAAGAGCCACCTGTAAGCAGGTTAATACGTCTGGAGCGCTAGGTAGAAAGTCGACCGAGGGATAACAGATGGTCGCTCAGTTAGCTGTACCAATGAACCACAGAATATTGCAGAATAACAAAAACAAGCAGCAATTGCTGCCCAGCGCCAGGATGGTCATGTCGGTAAGCGGTGTGAAGACAGCGGACCCTAGGCTGAGATAACCCTCGAGGCTCTGGGTGTCTGGCTGGGAGGTCCCTTGCCCACCCGTTCCACACTTTTGACCCCCACCAAAACACGGAAGCTGTCCAAACAACAACACACCATGTCATGACAACAATCAGCGCTATTGGTATCAACCGGTCATGTTCAGTCTAGAAGCCGCTCGCGAAGTAGTTCGCATCCCGCACTGGTACTGCCTTGACTGACGCTCTGGAGCTTCGATCGCTGTCGTATAGATAGCAGTAGTAGCTTCCCCGCATAGTCGCAATAAAGTGGTGCGACGACACATATCAGCGTTTTTCCGCTCAAGGCGATTACGTCGGCATTTTGTTGACGTAGCGACAGTCAAACGTGCCTTCACTGCTTGCCTACTGGTACACCACTGCGCGTCCGGCTGCGCTGTCTGGACAAGCAAATCATGTCCCTCATACCCTATGGTCCGGCCGAGTCCCGGGAAATTGTCCTGTAGGTCATATCATCCCTCGATATCAATCCACGCACCGTATACCACCACAACCAACAAGCCGGCACTGACACTGTCTTCAGGCGCCACGGTTCTGCCGTCGTCGTATACGACCAAAACTCGAGGCAGCTCTCCCTCCGTGATGCTTCGCACGCAACCAACATTGACTCGACGTCATGTCCCTTTTGTCACCGAGCCTACCGCCCACCCTCGCCACATGGCAGCGACGATAGCGACGAGCATGAACACAATGCGCCGGGCGCTTCCACAGACAATGGCTTCGTCAACCCGGCATACTTCCAGATGCTCCGCCGCAGTCAGCCCACATCTGCTGAGACGTCGCGACCCCCGTCACCGCATAAACAACTAGCACCTGCGCCTGGGCGCATGACTGGCTTCGGTGCACCTCAAAGGTCCGAGTTTGTTGCAAACACGCCGGCTCAGCCGCAAAGAAGCCAGGGCATATCAGCGCGGGCTTTCAGTCCAAACTATTTCAAGGATTTCTTTATAGAGGAGCGCGAGTTGGGTCGGGGAGGGAAAGGCGTCGTCCTGCTGGTGCAGCACCAGCTCGATGGGGTCAAACTTGGCAAGTTTGCGTGCAAGCGCGTGCCAGTGGGTGACGACCATGAGTGGCTAGAAAAGGTGTTAGTCGAAGTCCAGCTCCTGCAAACCCTATCGCACCAAAACCTGGTATCATACCGTCATGTGTGGCTCGAAGACTATCAGATTTCGAGCTTTGGACCGAGCGTGCCATGCGCCTTCATCCTCCAGCAGTACTGTAACGGCGGAGACCTCCACAGTTACATTCTCGATTCGGCAAAGCAATCAGTTACAAAGGAACAGATGAAGGAAAGGCTCCGGAGGAGGTCAAAAGGTCAACTGGAAGAACCAGAGAACCTGCATGGGCCGCGTAAGATGCCTTTTGAAGAAATTATTTCCTTTTTCAAGGACATCACGGCTGGCCTAAGCCACCTTCATGCAAATGGCTATATTCATCGAGACCTGAAACCAAGTAACTGCCTACTCCACCAGACGGGGCGTAAAGTACGAGTCCTGGTCAGCGATTTTGGCGAAGTACAGTCGATGAATACGACGAGAAACTCGACGGGTGCTACTGGAACCATTTCATACTGTGCGCCTGAAGTTCTCCGTCAGGAGCAACCAGGGGGTGCATTCGGCAACTTTACCACCAAATCGGATATTTTCTCCCTTGGCATGATTGTTTATTTCATGTGCTTTGGAAGACTGCCGTATCGGAACGCCGATGGCATTGATGAGGACAGCGAAGATCTTGATGAGCTGAGAGCCGAGATTTCGACGTGGACCGGCATAGACGACGAGCAGCGCGTGCGCTCCGACTTGCCCGAGAAGCTGTACAGATCACTCAAACGGCTTCTTGCCCTCGACCCCGAAAATCGTCCTGGCGCCGAAGAAATTCTGCAAGTACTCAAGTCGCCGCTGGTGTTCGATGAGTATGCTACATATGCCAACTCACCCGCAGTTGACGAGTTCAGCCCTCGCATCTCCCGTGCAGATACACCCAGTCCGGCTCCGACGCAAGCGAGCAAAAAACGCACTTCGGTCAACTATGCCCGTCCTGGGCGATCGAACCTCAGCGCCACGGTCATGGACCGGACACCCAGCCCCCCAGATACACCGGCGATGCGGAGAGAACCGTCTGGGGATGGAGCTGTCATTCTCAGAAGGAAGGTAGACCTTCGGCCTCCATCCTCATCAGCCGAAAGAACTCCGTCGCCGCAGCGGCTCATGTTGCCTCCTCCACCACCGACCGACATTGTGTCAAGATTGTATGGAGCATCCGGGCACCCTGTGGCGCTTGGACTCACAAAAGTGGCTTTGTTTTGTGCAAAAGCGTTTAGTCTTCTTTCACCCTGTCAACCGTTTGCGGCCGACGCTCGCGTTCTGTACCCGCTGCTCTGTCTAGCATCGATTGATTTCCTGCACGTGAGCTGGGTTGGACGGCTCATGGGCAGAGAGTTTAGTCTGGGCGGATTGGGCGCGTCACTGGTGCTTTTGATGGTGCACGTGATTGTGTTGGGGACGACATTGAGGTGGGATAAACTTTGTGAAAAGAGAGGGATGGTCTGGGACGCCCTCTGAGGATAAGCAGTGGCAGTGAGGACGTGTGCAAGACATAAGCGGTAGGATTGATTCCAATATGACCATGCATTACTGTACCATACCCACGAGAACAAAGCAATCAAGCGACTTCACTCTCCATGCTCCATCTTCTCGCAGCACTGTCACGTGCCAGCGCGACGCTGATGACGATGTTGCACGCCTTCTTTGGGAGAGGGGCTGGAGAGCCAATCAAGGCCGACTGGGCGTGGGTGGGGCTCGGATACGTTAGCGTTGTTTTGGTAAACACGCCCTCCCGCTTCATTCATCTGCGACACTGCATTGCACCTTCCAACACCAACACGCGCTCCCCAAGCCATCTTATTCCCTTGGGCCGGCCTTTTTGGACACGGTAGCGTGTAGCTTCACTAGTCTTTACGAAGCATCTCTTCTTGTCCCTATATACGTGTTTTACGACGCGCCTTGATCATCCGCGACACCAACGCTGCCATCGCAGCTTCACACATTGGACATGCAGTCTTCTCCTCCCACCAGCGACGGGAAAGCACGCGCAATCCGCGAACTTTCTCGCAGCCTAAGTCACAGCCCAAGAAACATCGAGTCACCATCACCATTGCCAACAGACTCGAATCCCACCCAACGATCGGGATTCGGCGGCACTGACACATCCCAATTTTGGGACAACCCGGACATTGTCCACTCGACACAGCACAACATTGTAGACGACACAAATACGCTTCCCAAATTCCCCCGCATTCGCTCCACCGCGAAGAAGCAGAGTGCCTGGGCGCCCTTCCGCTCCGAGCAGATCCAGCCTGACACATCCATGGTAAACAAGGAGTTCCTCGACTTCGACCACTCCATTTCCGACGAGGAAAGCATGGCTGTGGAGCAAGCACGTGGTGGTAACCGCAGCAACCGCGGCACTCCTAGCAAGATTAGCTCCCCGTTCAACAGCCTCTATGACATGACACCCCTCACCAACAGGTCGCGTAAATCACACATGGCAGACACGAGCAGCCTTCGACGCGACGCGGCAATCCGACGCGCCTCCCGCAATGACCTCGACACAATTTCACCTCGTCCTTCGAGCAAGCGCAACTCGCCAGCCCTGGCTAAAGAGGACCGCAAGCGCAACTCTCTTTCACAGCTGCACGCCAAACTGTCTGAAGATGAGTCGTCGTTTATGGACCAGCGACCCCCGACAGTCACCATTGACTCCACCAAGAATTCACGTTGGGGTAACCGAAGCCGCCAGGCATCACTTCAGATTGATGGCAACGCCGATACCCTGCAAAGCAAAGGAACCCCTCGCTCGAGGCAAAATACCACACAAAACGCGACTGGCCAGTCGTTTATCCTTCCAGATCTTCCTAACCTCACGGAGCTGGTCTCTGGTGTCTTTGACGATGGTACTCCAGTCTTCTCAAAGACAACGACTTCACGATCACGCTTTTCTGCCCCTCCAAACGGTGGTCGCCGACCATCATACTTTCCCGTCGAGGGTGTCCCAATTCCCGACGAGGAAAAGGCCATCTTTTCCGCGCTTCAACAGTTGCAAGAGAAGCTTGCAGAGATGGAGCACGAACGGGCGGAGCAAGAGAAGAAGATTGAAGAGCAGGATCTCGAGTTGATCGAGCTGCGAGCCACGGCACAGGCCCAGGAGAAGCTACGTCGAAGCGACAGTGCGCAGGATTCAGACGCTGGAAAGAATAGCTGGAAGATTGAGAAGACGCGTAAGTAACGCAAAGTTTGGAAATTAACATCAATACTGACAATTTTTAGGACTTGACGCTACCGTACAAACACTCCGAACCAGGATCGATCGTGCCGACCGAAAAGTTGCTGTTCTGGAAATCGAGAAGAAGCGTTTGAACACTGAGAAGGAGAGCATGGCAAACCAGCTCGGTGTTGCTTTCCAGACATGTGAAGAGCTCAAGAACGAAAAGAGCGCCCTGAGCAGTGAGAATGAGGAGCTTCGCCAGGAGGTTGAGACACTCCGTTCAGAGAACGAGGCCCTACGTGATCAGCTCGATCACGACCAATCCCAGCACCGAGAAGAAACCACTCAGCTCCGACGACAGTTCGACCAGGCCGCAAATGCAACTGAAAAGGAAAACGCCAACCTACATGCGGAATTGGCTCGTGTACGCGCACAGCAGGACGAGAATACTCAGCAACTTAGCCGCAGAGATACAGAATTGCGACGAGTACGCCAGGAGCAGGCTGAGTTTGCTCGTCTGAAGTCAGAACACGATTCTCTCAGGTCTCAGCTCGCAGAGATCAAGGCTAGGCGGGAAGAGGATGCTCAACGCTGGGCTCGCTTGGAGTCTTCTCTGCGTAGCAAGGTTGATCGACGTGATGAGACCATCCGACAGTTCCAAGACACTACTCAGGAGCAGACAACTGAGGCTATGCGCCTAGACAACGAGAATCTCCGTATCGAACTTCAGGAGCTCCAGGCACAACAAGACGAGGAATACGAGCAATGGGCAAGGAGAGAGGCAGAGCTGCAGCGAAAGATCCAGTCGCGTGAAAGGGCTATTCGGAGGACTCAAGAGCCAAACGATGGGCCTCAAGAGCAATTGCAACGGAGACCCAGCTACCGCCGAGAAGATACGCGCACACGCATTAAGAACCGTGTCCAGCAGGAAGTTCGCAACAGCAGGCTTGCAAACGAATCCCAGCAAGAAAGCCCACGAAAGTCGTTCACTGCTCATTCAAGGTTCTCCACTCGAAGTTTCTCTGCACCAATTATTACCGACAAGCATGCACGTGTAGAAAGCGAGGTTGAGTCAACTACCGACTTGTCTCTTGCGCCTCGTTCAGCCCTTCGTATCTCACGCAACAGCCACTCTGCCAGGCAGACCTCAACTATCCAGCCTCCTGCAGATTTGGATCTCACCGAGTTGAGCTACATTGATAAGGATCAAATTGCTCAGCTTCGACGTCGCCTAGAGGAAGACCGAATTGCAAAGCGTGAATCTGCTCTGGTAGATGAGGTGACTCGCGATGACACTGTCCGCTCTCAGCGTCAGACTCGTGAAGACACTGTCCGATCAGTGGCCTCAGCTAAGAGCGAACGTCGCCCTTCTCTCGTCCGCAAGTCTTCGCTCAAGGATACCACACAACGCACCAACAATACGCAGTTTGAGGAAGACACTGGTAACTTTTCCAACTTTGACGCGGAAGGCGATGCTACACAGACGAAGCAATCTGCTTTCGACGCTTCAATGGTTAGCAACACGAGCCGAAGGCGTCGCAGTGCTCCCACTGAGATGACATCGGCTTTCATTGTTCCAGACATTAAGCTCAGTACATCAAAGCAGGCTACGACCACTACCAGCATGCAACGAACACTTCTCAAGGAGCACGACAACGCCAACTGCACCTACTGCCGTCGCGAAGGATACACCACCGCCACCGATGCTCTCCACGTACCTAAGCTTGTTCCAGCATCTGTACGCACTGCGGATGATGTGGACGCTACTCTCCGTCCCGTACAATCGCCAAAGGAAGCCCTTGCGCTTGTAGTAAAGGGAATGAACGACGAGCGTATTCACTTGCATGCTGAGTTGGCCGTCCAACGCGCCTTGCTTGAGCAACACGACCCCAGTCTCGGACAGCGCAAGCGTATTGCAATCAACGAAGCAATCCAGGATCTTCTCCGCCGAATCGACCATCTCGACAAGCAAATCTACCGCCTCCACGATGTGCTCGAGGGCCAACGGGCCGATGATCTGACTGAACAAGATGTCGAGGAGCTCACTGGCCAAATCCCCGTCGAGGAAGAGAAGACTGGTCAAAGCGAGAAGAAGGCCAAGAAGGTTACTATCCGCAGCTTTGTCGACGAAGACGAGAGCGTCGAGATTGGTCGAGGTCGCTCAGCCAAGAACGGTGGCGCTCACGACGAGGAAGACGACGACGACGATGAGACGCACGAGCTTCCTTGGGAAGGGTTTGGAGATGACTCTGGTCCCGAGGGTGATGCTAGTTTCTCGGCTATGGCATTCACCTAGGTTTGGTTGATTGATTGTATCGACCAAAACTTGCCTTTACTTCTTTTCTTTTTCTTTCCTTATTCCCTTCCTTCCTCTGAAGCGGGGATCGGGATATTGTTTGAATAGGAATAGGGATTCATTGAGGCGTTATTTTGGATGTGCGGTTTTACACATGGAATTTCCGGATTAACTCGGACTTGGGGGTTTTTGCATTTCAAATGGGTATGGGATGGGAGTATTGGCGTTTCTTTCTTTGTATCCTTTACTCCATTTCTTGTTGAGTCAGGATTTGTTCTTCTCTTTTTTATCCTTCCTCGTGGAGATCTTTCTCTTATTGTTGGCTCGCTCAGCTTACTTTTCTTTCTCCTTCCGCCGTTTTTCTCTCTTTGATATCTCCAAACTCTTTTTCTTATATCTCGTCTTACTCACGAGTGGCTTTGGTAGGCGCCTCGACTCACTTTTTTCCATCTTCTGCTACTCCTGCTTTTTTGGCGGTTGTTTCAGTGGCGGGGATGGGGAAAAAACGTTTGAGTTGGTGGCCTCGGCGCTTTGAGAGTTTGAAGGGAGAATGGGAAAATGACTGAGATCTTGGATGGGGGGAAGGGAGGAGGTATAAGTAGAGTTTGCCAGTGTTAGAAAGGATGAACTGAAGGGAAATGTATGAACATGTTTCATGCTTGAATAACAAGATTGTGCCAGTGTGCGTTCCCCAATGTGTGATTTGGCATGTTTGCTCTAAAAATTGACCCTTTCTCAACATCATCGCTAGGGTCGAATGTTTATTCGTCTATCTTTCGTCGGTTGTGAGACTCATCAAACTAATTTTCAAGGCAGTATTACATGTACCTCTCAATGTGTAGATGCAGAGTCTCGACGGAGACAAAGCGTGTAAGCATATCATTTTGACTTGTAGCCTGTTGAGTTTATTCAATGAAGTGGAGCAAGAGGTAAAGCAACGCAGCGGTATTGATAGGTGGGGAGAGTCATATACTATAAAGTCCGTTGTTTTCCTTTTTTTTCATTGCCATCGTTAAAGAAAGGTCTGGTACTAGTGTTGTTTCTAGAGGTAAGTAAAACGCATGGGCAAGACACTCGATGACTGCAAACCTAACAATTGGTATCGTTGCACGATGTCCCTGGGTTCAATCGTATCGCGGATCCCCATGTCTTATTATTTCATCGTGTGAGAATTGTTATGCAATGTGTTGCCACGCTGGCATGCAGAGCCAGTACGATACTTGTCTTGCATTACATAGCGTGCCTATAATGATCTCAATTTTCTGCAGATTCCCATGGCTATAGCTTGCATAGTATACGACAAGTAGTGTTTCTTGTACGTGATGATTAGAGCCTAGTGTGGATCCAGATACCGGCTGAGGCAGTGAGGGAAAGACTCGATAACAGACTGGAATCCACGATGCCCACGACACATGAATGGTTTTGTGTATCGGAGATACATGCCAGATAAGAATCATTGCATGTTGATATGTACCACGTGAGATACTGTGTTGTTCGTTAGAAAGGCCGAATAACAAGGCCATGAGCATGTCCGATCACATCGATGAACAAATATTTCCAAGATCCCAGTGCATTGTCCTGCTGACACGGGCTTTCCTTACCCTGCTTATCAGCAATACCGGTGAAAGCCGGGGCTTGGGTTGGAAGAGGCATTGAAAGATGCGGAGCAACGCAGCCCGAATGATCGTGTTGTGCGTGAGTCAAGAAGCGATGGGGCAGCCAATCGGCCGGCAGCAGCAGCAGCAGAATGCATCAAGGACGGAAAGGCGAGGTTCTTCGCTTCGAGGTAGGTGGAGCGAGACGGCGAAGTGGCGATTATCCGCGTTCCGGGGAGTGCAAGATAGGGCTGCTTCCGGGTCATCGCAGTATCGACGGGTCGTCGGTGCATACCGCGACGACCCGACGGATGGTTATCAAAAGAGCTGCTGGTGATATCCAAGTTTCTTGGCTTGGATGTAGGACACTCAGATCACACGCAGGTCAGTACGCTTCGGAGCGTACGGCGATTCGTGCGTGGGTGCCCGGGTTGCAGGGCCTCGTGAGCGTGGCTTGACGTTGTTTTGACTTGGCCAAGCAATGTTCAGAGGCGAAAATTGGGCGGATTTGAGTTGTCTAGCGTATGCGGAGACGGGAGATGATGCAGATGCAGGTATGACTTCTTGATGATAATGTCTACCAACAAGGTTGACTAGCGTATGTGGGGTTGGTTGTGTTGTTGAAGGAGGCATGATTTTGTGTCTGCTTACAGTAAACATATCCAGAGCTTATGGCAGTCATTCTGTCACTGTAATTGCAATCCAAACTCAAGTCTTGATGTGTGTATGTACTGGACATTGTTGTATGTTGGAGTGTAATAGTGCGCGCATGTTGCGATTTGTGGATTATAAGACTTGGAGGCTTTGGATTTTAGTGTAATTGAACATCAGTTATGTCCTGATGTTTCTGACCGATATTGGAAAGTTCGGTGGACTTATCAATCCACACCGATTAGCCGGGAGAGGTCATACGTTGCGTTGATGCATCCGACTTAGGGTGAGAAAGACAAGCACTTCTAGATACGACATATGCGGTCTGAATTATCCCTGCAGATCCATTTCCAAGCATATTTTGTAACAAAAGAAAAGATCCACGGTTGATCATATCCAATGCAGTACGTGCTGAGTAGCAGTGCGAGTAGAAAGAATTGGCGCCAAGGCTCGGCTGGTGCAAGCTGGAAAGCATAATTCAAGTTCGGTGAGAGCTTGCAGGTCGCTGTACAACAATCAAAACATTTTGTGTCCATATGGTACTGGTGGGGACTGTCTCTTCGATCGCTAGTCGTCAAAGAGCCGCATATGGCTGTCGCTGGTGCGGCAGGGTGCTATCGGCGGCTAAGCGTGAGCAAATAGTCTTGATTTGCCAGCATAATAGAAGGTGCTTGTTCCGGCTAGGCGGGTGGAAGGAGACAATGATAGCAATTGAAAGCTGCAGACTGGCATTGTATGCGTGGCGCTTCGGCCGTTAGCTGGCGCGGGAATGACCGTGTGCTTGCAGGAGCCCTCAGTGCTCGCGTGCCATTCGTGTGGAGCCAGCTCAGTGCGACGTCCCGAAGGCTCGACCGAAGTATAGAGGAGAGAGGTTTGGAACGGATGGGCTTGCAGGAATATCGTATAGAGCAGACGTCCAGGGGGGGAACTGGGGTAGTTGGTGACGAACGAATGGGAGACTGAGACTGAAGGTTAGCGTGCCCAGCCCTAAGTACCTAGTACCCTACCTCACTCGCTTCCAGATCTTCATTGGGATCCTCATATGTGTGCCCACAATCCAGGCTTCGATTTACTACTCTTGGCCTTGAGGTGGTGCCGGACGAGATGGGCTAGCATCATGCTACCCTGCATACGAAGCCTTGTGCTTGCATGCTCACCGTGTCAACCTCGACGTCGGTCCACGAGGCTGCTTCATGTGAGCCAGTGGCAGCAAGAGAGTATAGTCGCGGGCAATGGGCACAAATGCAACCACTATGTCACTTGGATGTGATTTGACAGCGGGGATGCCGGTATGTCCTGACATGGACATGCAGTAATATGGAGAGGCGACGCCCAACTCACCGGGCCTGACGACTAAGCGCTCCCTGGACTTTTGGGCATAGACAGCAGCATCCTCAACGCAGAGAAAAGCATCGTGTTGGCTGGAAAAGCATTGCCCCGCGTGGCAGAGAGAAGGAGGGCTGTTTGGTTGTCGTAGGCGCCAGGATACAGCGGTGTGGTCGCAATAGCTCACGGCTCCAACGGTGAGGTTGCCATGGCTGGAAGGCGGCTAGCCCGATTTGGCCGGGTGGATGGCGTCGGATTGCGTGACCAGAGCAAGTCACCACCCGCTTTTTTCTTTGTAAAGTGCGTCAGGGCTGCGCCTTCCCCACACAATCCGTGCTCCTAATGCTTAGTCTAGGGGCGGAGCGTCGCTCTCACCTTGTATAAAGCACCCTCACTTCTCCCTCTCACCCAAACTTGACCTCACTTCTATTATACAAATCCCTTTGCTCGCTAGCTTATACAACTCGGGGAAAGAGGCCAATACTTCTATATATACAATTGATACAACAACATGGCCCCCAGTCTCTTGCTAGATCAAGAGGCACCCCCACCTGCCTCTGTTCATCCTGCCAAGCAAACACTCAAAGAGGCCCACGCCCCCGTTGGCGGCGACTTTTCCTTCGCCTCTAGTCATACCAGCAATGGCAATGGTACCCATCTTGAAAACGGCGCCAATGGCTTCCTAACGGGCAATGGGGTACCAGGTGGCCAGCAAGGCAGCCACGACTTCATCTCAGCTCAAACTCTTCGTCAACAGTCCGAAAACTATGCATCTCAGAGTCGCACCCTTGGTGACGGGAAGCGCCCAAACATTCTGTATATCATGGCTGATCAGATGGCTGCTCCAATGCTGAAGTTCAATGACCCAGAGTCAGTAATCAAGACACCACACCTCGACGAACTCGCTCGGACCGGTGTAAACTTTGCAAGTGCTTATTGCAACTCACCTCTGTGTGCACCATCCAGGTTTACCATGTGCAGCGGTCAGCTCCCCTCAAAGATTGGCGGATACGACAATGCTTCCATTCTAGGCCCAGAGGTCCCCACCTATGCTCACTATCTCCGCCGAGAGGGCTACGAGACTGCCCTGGCTGGGAAGATGCACTTCATTGGTCCTGACCAGCTCCATGGATTTGAACACCGACTTACTTCCGACATTTACCCTGGAGACCTGGGATGGTCTGTCAACTGGGACAAGCCAGAAGAGCGCCAAGAGTGGTACCACAACATGTCGTCGGTCATGCAGGCCGGCCCATGTGTGCGCTCCAACCAGCTCGACTACGACGAGGATGTCATGCACAAGGTAAGATTATTCTAGCTTGGCAACGCAATGCAGGATGCAACAACGCCAAATATCCTTGCTAACATAGTCACTCAGGCCCAGCAATACCTCTACGACTATGTTCGATCAGATCCCGAGACTCGCCGGCCATTTGCTTTGACCATCTCTCTGACCCATCCACACGACCCCTACACCATGATCCAGGAATACTGGGATAGGTACGAGGGTGTAGATATTCCTTTGCCCAAGGTCGAGATTGATCAAGCCGACCAAGACACGCACTCGCAGCGACTCCTCAAAACCATTGACTTGTGGGACAACCCAGTACCAGACGAAGCCAAGATCCGCGCCCGGCGTGCATATTTTGCCGCCTGCAGTTTCGTCGATGACCAGGTTGGTAAACTCGTCAAGCTTCTGAAGAACTGCAAGCTAAACAAGGATACAATCGTTGTCTTTTCTGGAGACCATGGCGACATGCTTGGTGAGAGGAGTCTGTGGTACAAGATGAGCTGGTACGAGAACAGTTCCAGAGTGCCTATGATTATCAACGGCCCCAACATTGCACCCAAGCAAGTCAGGGAGTCAGTATCTACAATGGATCTGCTGCCGACATTTGTCGACATGGCTGGAGCAAAGGTTGATGAACGCCTGCCCCTCGACGGCACCAGTCTATACGAGTATCTAGTATCTGATAAGCCAGGTAAAGACGAGGTGTTTGGCGAGTACATGGGCGAAGGGACTATCACTCCCACGTACATGATCCGCCGCCATGAGTGGAAGTTTACCTTTTCTCTCGCAGACGGGCCACAGCTCTACAATCTTGTCGAAGATCCGCAAGAGCTTCACGATCTTGCCAGGTCCACGGAGCCTCACAACCGGAAGGTACTCGCTAAGTTCGAGGCCGAAGCCCGTGAGAAGTGGGACTTTACCAAGATCCACAACGATGTTCTGCTCAGCCAGCGCATGCGTCAGCTTGCTTGCGGTGCGCTGAAGATTGGGCGCAAGGAGTCGTGGGACTACCAGCCCCCATACAACGACCGGGACCGTTTCATCCGGTCGCACATTCCGCTGGATGAGCTGGAGCGACGTGCTCGGTTCCCTGTAGTGGACTACCTGGGTCGCGAGAAGTCTGCTGCGGCAACCCACCATGGCCTTGCGGGTGCGGCCGGCGAGTAAGGAGACGGATGTCCAAGGATGAGCAGCTTTTCTTCTGTTCATGATTTCTTTTGATGGCTTTTTTTCGGAAGGGGATTTTTCCCGCTTTTTTTTCTTATTATTTGGTTGGGGTCACAGCTTCCCGTTGGTCTTGCAAATTAGCGATAAGGGCGTTATGGGTTTATGGACGTTGACGAGGATGTACGTATGGCATGGTATCTGGCATTCAGCATGATGAGATTATGGTTTATGGGGGCATTCATGACGGAGTTTGGCAATATATGATGTATTACTGTAATGTGTATGTACGAGGATGCACATAAGTATGTAGGAGCGGTGTGCACAGACGGGTAGTAGGGTTAGAGGCAAATGTAAAGCAACCGAAAGCAGCACAAACCTTGGTGGAGAAGCGTTGAGTGTCGGTGAGAATGAAATTTGGTTGTCATGCAAAAAAGGACGGCGAGGAGACAGAGGGGGGTGGCGGCGTCAAGATGAATATTAAGTGGGTCTGGCGATTGGCCGTCACACGTGAGGTGGCGTTGGGTTGGGGGGCAAGACAAGGTGGTGGATCAGCAGCGGAAGGTGCCAGCGACAACTGCCCGCTGCTCGCAACCATCGGTGCAACACAGCAACGCCAATAGCAAAAGCACACGGTGCACACCAACCCCCCAGGCTCCTTCTTGTTCCCCGCCCTTTTTTGTTTCTGCTAGACATACCCTCTTTCTACAACCAAACTCGGCTTATCTATCGACACCATCATGTCTACTGCAGCCCGCCGCCGCTTGATGCGTGACTTCAAGGTGCGTAGTGATTGCCCCCCTCGGGAGAGAGGTGCAGGCAACTTACACGACTGCCGACCATGCATGGTAACTTGAGCTGACAAAGGGGTATAGCGCATGCAGACTGATCCTCCGGCTGGTGTATCTGCATCCCCGGTTGCTGATAATGTAATGACTTGGTAGGGCTCTCCGCAAGCATGGAGCACACGACATGATGATGATGATGATGATGATGATGTCGACAATGCCATGCCCATGGGACACCTTGGACTGACAAGTGTGCAGGAACGCAGTCATAATAGGTCCCGCCGACACGCCCTTTGAAGATGGAACGTTCCGCCTGGTCATGCACTTTGAAGAAGCATACCCCAACAAGCCGCCGGGCGTCAAGTTTATCAGCCAGATGTTCCATCCCAACGTATACGGAACCGGAGAGCTGTGTCTGGACATCCTGCAGAATCGCTGGTCACCCACGTACGATGTCGCAGCTATCCTGACGAGCATTCAGAGGCACGTTTACACTGCAGCCTCCCCGAGATATTGGAGCACAAGTACTGACCAGAGACACAGTCTGCTCAATGACCCCAACACATCGTCGCCGGCCAACGTCGAAGCATCCAATCTGTACAAGGAGAACCGCAAGGAGTATACCAAACGCGTACGCGAGACGGTAGAGAAGAGCTGGGAAGACTAGTATAGCAATAGGGACATGAAGTTCACGACATGATATGGCATCGTATGGAGTTATGAGGTGCAAGGAACGATATCACTTGTGTTAGCCTGGCAGTCTGGGGGCTTTTGCCATATGGCTGTTCGAGCACGGCGTCTGGTCTGATTTTCTGGGTGATTTGGGCAGGTTTGGCTAGGTAGTCGAATATACGAGCACTCCCCTTTGTTTTGTTCTCGATGACGACTGTGTATTGCAGCTATGGCGGGTCTGTTGGTGGGTTGCTAATGCAGGGCCTGGTGACATAAGCGCCCTGGGCACAGCCCGGCGGCCCAAGGGTGCAGCAGGGCAGGAAGCGAGAGGGAATTGGAAGCCTGTCAGCAGGGACTTGGATAAGTACGCTCTTACATATGTATGTGATACTTAGTTACTACACTCGGCCCAGGCTGTGTGGCCCGAGACGTGTGCTATGACCAGTCGAGAGACAGCGGGACCTGCGTCAGAGCCGTTGGCTGCGGGGAGGGGGGGGGAGGAAAGGCAGGCCCGCTACGGGAATTGCAGGCCCTTGGCCGCAGCACCACACGCCCACGCCCACCAACGCCAGGCCTGCAAGCTCAACAGCGCCCAAAGCAACAATAAACATCAACACCGCCATATCCCGCCACCCACTCACACACGCTCTCTCTCTCCCGTGCCTCGAGCGCCGCTAGTTGGGATCCCTTGCTCCGCCCAACAGGATCAACTTTGTTGCCGTTTCATCGGCTCCCCTTAACTATAGCGGGGGCTGTAATTACCCACCTCTACGCGCCGAAACACTGCGAGACGTGACGGTGCCACCCGAAAAGTGCACGCCGGTTTTGCACACACACTCTCGCCTGCCACAGAGCCCGAGAGGAGTTGATCGAGCGAGGCCGCTGGGCCGCTGTGCCATAGTCCAACAGCAATCATGTCGTGAGTAGCACCTTCACCGACTCGGGCGAGGAGGGGTCACGCATGGCTAACAAATCTACCGCAGGGGCTCCAACAGCATCAAAGGTGCGCCACACTCCCACCAAACAACACAACATACTGCCCCGTGGTCTATGTATCGAGTGTGTGCATTTACTGACAGTGGCACGCTGCAGTTGTGGCCCGCTTCCGCCCCCAGAACAAGGTCGAGATAGCGAGCGGTGGAGAGCCCATTGTTGAGTTCAACTCCGAAGACACATGTACAATCCAAGTGCGCCTCCCCTCCCTCCAAACAGCTTTCTGGCCCCATGCTGCCCTCTCAACGGCACCTTGCTGACTGCCATGTGCACAGTCGAAAGAGGCCTCGGGGGCCTTCACCTTCGACCGCGTCTTCGACATGAAGTCGCGCCAGGAGGATGTCTTCAACTACTCCATCCGCCCCACTGTCGACGATATTCTCAACGGATACAACGGTACCGTCTTCGCCTATGGACAGACGGGAGCAGGAAAGTCCTACACCATGATGGGAAGCGACATGGACGATGAAGTAGGCAAGGGAGTCATCCCGCGTATCGTCCAGCAAATTTTTGCCAACATCCTCGCCTCGCCGAGTAATATTGAATATACCGTCCGCGTCAGCTACATGGAAATCTACATGGAGCGCATTCGAGATTTGCTCGTTCCCCAAAACGACAATCTGCCAGTACACGAGGAAAAGAGCAGAGGTGTATACGTCAAGGGTCTGCTTGAAGTATATGTCTCGAGCGAAGAGGAGGTCTACGAGGTTCTGAGGAGGGGTGGCTCCGCACGAGCCGTCTCAGCAACCAACATGAACCAGGAGTCGTCGCGATCGCACTCTATTTTCGTCATCACAGTCAACCAAAAGAATGTCGAGACAGGCTCGCTGAAGAGCGGTCAGCTCTTCCTGGTCGATTTGGCAGGTTCCGAAAAGGTCGGCAAGACGGGCGCAAGTGGACAAACGTTGGAAGAAGCCAAGAAAATCAACAAGAGTTTGAGTGCCCTTGGTATGGTCATCAACTGCTTGACCGACAGCAAGACGCAGCACATTCCCTACCGAGACTCCAAACTCACTCGTATTCTTCAGGAATCGCTAGGTGGTAACTCGCGAACAACCTTGATCATCAACTGCTCTCCAAGTAGTTATAATGACGTCGAAACATTGGGCACGCTCCGGTTCGGTATGCGAGCAAAGACGATCAAGAATAAGGCAAAGGTCAATGCTGAGCTGAGTCCGGCTGAACTCAAGGCGATGCTCAAGAAGGTCCAGGGCCAAGTCACTACGTTTGAAAACTACATTGGCCAGCTGGAGAGCGAAGTGACACAATGGCGTGGAGGAGAGACGGTACCAAAAGACAAGTGGATACCGCCGCTCGAGACCAGCACAGTTTCCCACAAGAAGTCATCCTCGTTGGCACGACCAGCGACACCATCAAGAGTGGAATCGACAAGAAACGCAGAAACACCACGCCCAGACTCTAGATTGGATCTCGACCGCGCAGGCACACCAAGCATACCGCTGGACAAGGACGAAAAGGACGACTTCCTGCGAAGAGAGAATGAGTTGCAAGACCAGGTCGCCGAGAGGGAGTCGCAGCTCGCAAAGGTTGAGGATCAGCTCAAGACTGTCAAAGATGAGCTGCAGTACTACAAGGACCGCGATGCCAAGACCAACAAGGACAATGAGCGAATCACCATCGAACTCAACGAGATGAAGATGCAAGTTGAGAAGATCCAATTCGAGGGCAAGGAGGCGCAAATCACCATGGATGGACTCAAGGAGGCCAATGCTGAGCTCACTGCTGAGCTGGATGATGTCAAGCAACAGCTCCTAGACGCAAAGATGAATGCCAAGGAGACATCTGCTGCCATGGACGAGAAGAAGAGGAAGAAGGCCGAAGCCATGGCGCAGATGATGGCTGGCTTCGATCTTGGTGGCGAGGTCTTCAGTGACAATGAGCGTACTATACGCAAGATCATCGAGCAACTCGACCAGCTTCATGAGATGAGCTCAGCAGGCGAGGCAATCGCACCAGATGCCATTCAAGAATTGCGCGAAAAGATTGTCGAGACTCAAGGCATTGTCCGACAAGCAGAGCTTTCCTTGACCGCACGGAGTGAGGAGGACACCGCACACGCCAAGCGCCGCGAAGCACTCGAGGCACGCTGTGACACTTTGCAAGCTCAGTACGAGGAGCTCCTCGAGGGTAATCTCTCTGAGCAAGATAAGGAGGAGGTCAAGGCGCGACTTGCTGACGCTTACTCGGCTCGCCAAGAGGGCAATCTTGAGCTTGTCGAAACCCTCAAGCAGGACACTGCGCGTCTGGTTGAGGAAGCCAAGAAGCTTCGGGCTGAGAACGAGAGTCTCCAGCAGCGCATCAAGAGCGGCGCAATTGCTAACGGCGTTGCCAACGGCATCAACGGAAAGACTGTGCAGCAGCAAATTGCCGAGTTTGACAACATGAAGAAGAGTCTCATGCGTGATCTGCAGAACCGTTGCGAACGGGTAAGTGCATTGATATCTTGGTAGGAGACAAGATGCTAATACCTTGTTAGGTTGTTGAGCTCGAGATTTCGTTGGACGAGACACGTGAGCAATATAACAATGTGCTCCGTACATCGAACAACCGCGCACAGCAGAAGAAGATGATGTTCCTCGAGCGTAACCTCGAACAGCTCACTGTTGTTCAGCGCCAGCTTGTCGAGCAGAACAGCTCCCTGAAGAAGGAAGTTGCCATTGCAGAGCGTAAACTCATTGCCCGCAACGAGCGGATACAGTCGCTCGAGAACCTTCTCCAAGATTCACAGGAGAAGCTCACAGCAGCGAACCACCGGTACGTCGAGCATGAGATCTTCAAAAAAAAGCATATGCTAACCTCTTACAGCTTCGAAGCCCAACTCACGGCCGTCAAGGAGCGTCTCGAAGCCGCAAAGGCAGGTTCAACCCGCGGTCTCGGCTCGCCCGCCAACGGTGCCTCCTACGCTGGCTTTGGGGGTGTCGGCTCCCGCATCGCCAAGCCCCTTCGTGGCGGTGGTGGTGCCGTTGCGGACGGCCCTGTGCTCCCAGTCATTGGCAATCTCCAGAAGCAGGATGGTGACAACGGTGGCGATTCAAGCAAGGGCAAGAGGACAAGTTGGTTCTTCAACCAGCGGTAGACCTCTGCGTATCGCCCTGATTGATGGATGATTATTGACTGCCCAAGGACTTCAAGATATGAGACTTTTTCGTGGTTTGGCCGGGAGGTGTTTTTGGTGTTGCTACTTTTCGTTCTTTGGCATGATGATCGGGATGGGATGGGATGAGATGAGATGAATGCGATGGATGAGGTGGAGGTGGATGAACGGGGGGCGGGGATGATGGGAGGAAAGTGTCTCTGATGTGTATGTCTCTCTCCTCTGGGAACGTTTTTGTCGCTGCATTTTCATACAGGAAATTATGCAAAGGGAATGGGAAATGTTATACGTACGACGTTGAACACGTCATACGCCTAGATTACATAGTAAGGGGAGGGAAGTGTCATATTTTTGAACTATCGTTTTCTCATCTTATTCATCTTCTATTCTCCCATCTCCTCTCAACATGTGGTACTAACTAACAATATTGATTCTTATACCAAATCATATCATAGATTTCATCCCCCCATCTCTCTTTCCCCAAGTCTCGTAAAAAAAAAGATACACAACACTGCCTTCCCATCTACCCCACCTCCCAGTCTTCCCTCTCAGAAAGAAAAAAAAGTAAAAACAGAAAAACATCCCCCACCCCTCCCACGACTCTCAACCCAACCTCTCCACACAAGCCTCCACCGCCACATCCGCCGTGGCCCCATCAAAAAAATCATTCAAAAAAACAACAACCCCTTCCCTCTCCCCCACCAACTTCCTCCCCACCTCGCCCTTCAACAACGGCAGAATCTTTGCATCGCACACGGGCTTCGTGGCCAAGATGGGACTGGTGCTAACATCGCTATGCAGGACGGTGGCCACGATTACATCTCTGATATTCGTAGCGGTGGCCTGGCACTGAAACAGCGTGACTGGTGCATCGTTGCTGGGCGGGGGGTCAGTGGAGGATATGTCGTGGAGGCGGGAAAGGATGGAGTCGCCGGTTAGGGTTGCGTTGTCGACGTCGTCGTAGTTTGAGTATTGGGGGAGGTCGGTGAGGAGGATGAGGCGTTTGTGCTGCTCGCGGAGGGAGTGGATGGATAGGTGGCGCATGTCGTCTTCTGAGCCTATGCAGAGCGTTTTGTCGGAGAGGAGGGGGTCCAGGATGTCGGAGAGGTCGGAGGGGTTGGGTCGGGGGCAGGCGTCGGGGACGCCGTCCCAACGGTTGTGGATGACGATTATTTCGTCCGGGTGTGAGGCGAGGAAGCGGGTTATGTGGTCGAGGAGGACGCGGTAGGGCATCCCGGGGATGGCGCCGTGCTGGAAGTACAAAGTGTCGTCCAAGGAGCTGATAGAGTGGAGCTGGCGGTGGCATTTCGCGGGGCGGAACTCAAAGTATCGGGCGCCGATTTTCAAGATAGAGTCGAGGGTATCCTTTTGGGTGATGGCGAGGGCACGGATGATGTCGGGCGCGATGCGGTTGATGGCTCCGTCGCTGACTTTGTTAAGGATGGAGAAGGCGCGTGGGAGGGAGCGGCCCAGAACTTCGCGGATGAGACCTGTGCCGGCGTTTTTGATCAGAGATAGACTGGATGACATGTTGTTCATGCCAATGTCGTGGGCAGATGGTAGGACCATTTTGTGAAAGGGGCGATTGGCAAGATCAGAGTCCTGGGGGATCTTGTCGCGCATCCAGTTTTCGTAGTTGGGCGTTACTGTTACGTAGCATTGGTGTTGCTTGGGTAGTTCTGCGAGTCCAGGTCCTGCGTCATAGAAGCCGTAGGTTATCACGACGTCTTCAGGGAATAGGGCGGGTGTCTGCTCCATGTTGACCATTGTGCCTTCTTCGACTTTGCCCGTCATGCTGTTTACTGCGACCCATTGCTTGGTCAGTTCCCGACCATCGCGGCGGACTATGAATTCGAAGTTTCCAGTAAATTTAAAACGGGGGAGGTTGGATAACTCAATTTCTAGATGGTCGAAGAGAAATTCGCGTTGTTCACTTCGCCTGATGCTGTGTTTTGGAACGGTGAATTCAATCTCGACTCCATCGACTGCAATGTATGCAAAGCATTTGACTCCTTTGGATGGCATCCTGTGGTATCATATATCCAAGGCCCTGCCGTTTATTGCGACTACTTTGGTGGTAATGCTCGTCCTATGTAGCAACTTGTGTACATCTACAACCGGATCTTCCAGTGGGGTAAGGAATGAACAATGTCAAGCCTCAGCTGGCGCGGCGCCATCGCGGTACTAAAAAGAAAAACGGCAGTCCAACCCATGCTTTCTTAGCCGTCTCAGCCGTCTTATTCGTCTAGATTCCGTGGAGTATTGGCAGTGGCTTAGCAGTGGTGTTGAGGTGGGGAACTCCGTTCAGCCACACCAATGGCCTATCACTCTGCCGTCAATATACGCTAGTCGGGCCGGTGAAGTTTCAGGCCTTTTCATCATCTATCATGGATAGTAACTGATTCAAGCCATGTTCCTGATTTCGTTTGAATGTTATTTCCAGAGGCAACAAAGTTTTAGATACTTCACTCGGGCTCTAGTAGTCTTCGAGTCAATGAGTTTCGCCACTGGTCCAGCCAGATAAACAGTAACCATCAACATATCGTTAAGGCATTGCGTGTCTCTTCAAAACACCGACTTCTCATCTTTCCTGTCCATCGTTTATTCTTGTTCCCCAGCTACCCAAAAGCTGGTGAAAGAGCGTACCCCACAACCAGCTCTTCTCCTTGCTTGAAACAGCTCCATAGGTTCCCCACGCCCTCATCCAGCCCAGGACTAAATACACTTCCCACGTAACAGAACACGCTTTCGTGCTCCTTCACGCCCAGTCTCTTGCGCAGAAAACGGACTATGGTTGCAAAATTCTGATTGGTGCTGAGTTTGAAGATACGCTGCGTGAGATGCGGGGCTGAGCCTATGGGTTGGAGGCGGATAGTTACTGCAGATGAACGATTTAGCCCAAGGCATATCAAATTGTTGGAAAAGTGATGTCATGTAGTAGGGCGAATTAGGACAGCAGCGCATGTCAAACACGTGGAAGACTGTATTAAGCTAGGCTATACCTTTCTGAACATTGAGATTTCCGGCCGTTTCGAGCGCTTTGGATGCATCCTTCGGGAGACTGCTTAAGACAACAGAAGCCGCCATGCTCAGTGGCGCTTCCGTCGTGTCATCTTCTTCTGGTATCCTTTCTTTGGGCGACTCGGACATGATGTAAATCGGGGGAAGGTTTGCCTCGGTGGGAAGGCGACAAGGCCTCCAGAAACCAGGAAATGTGAGTTGTCGAAGAGCAAAAGCAAAAGAGTAATGAAGGGACCCAAGTGATGCGCTGATTGATACACGGCTAAGAGAGTGTAGGTGAAAGTAAGAGTGATGGTCAGGTGGAAGGCATGCACGTCAACTTAGCCAATCAGCGCCCCACCATCCAGACTGCATTCCTTACTGCGTACAATCAACCAGCAGAGGCAACAACGTACGATATCACTTTCATATTGATATCTAGTGCTCTACATATTTGAAACAATAGTGATAAAAACATAAGCTCCGGTATTGTGATAATCAGCCCGTTCATCCGTCATCAAATCCTCTCTTAGTATGACAATGTCCTTCAAACCACCATGGGGTACCAACGCCTATTTTCAAGCACACGCGCACGCGCGCACACCGCCAACCAACTGGTTTGCAATCGCAATGACCAGCAAAAAGGACTACAGGGCCATGATGCAATAGGTATATACAAAGGAACGCGTGTATCGTTAGCGACCAGGGATCGGAGATCGTGGCCTATACTGAGCAAGGAAATGAGCAGGTTGTGCTAGGTCGCCAAAATGGGAGGGTAAAAACTACGCCAGAAATGCTATCAAGAAGGGGTATTTGCTCGCAGGCGAAAACTGCGAGCTTCAAGGCGAGAATTGGAAAGGGGGAAAAGAGACCTTTTCGTGGGTATTAGTGGAATCATCCATTACGCCGTGATAGATGCAAGGGGTGACCGTGTATTCTGCATGAGCCATGAGGCTCACCGACGATCGAGTTGGGCGAGTAGCTGGTCGAGCTCAACCCAGTTGTCAATGTTTGCCGCGAATTTGCGGTGCTTGCGGGAGACGATGTGCTGTATACTGTTAGCAACTTGCCCGAAGGGTGATGATCATGAGTCGTACCTCGTCGAAGTCATTGAACTTCTCCCTGCAGTTCTCGCAGTAACCCGGCTTCAACTCCTTCTCGACATTCTTGCGTCGACGGAGCGCTGCGGCTTTACGAGCTTGTCTTTCTTCGTCTCCATCGTCATGCATTCGGCCCAGGGTCTCTTGGGCTTTGCGCTTGGCTGCTCGCATGGGTTGAGAATGTTCATGGCTAAGCGCGGTCCTGACATCATTGGTTACGGACGAATGACCACTATTCGTATTCGCCGAGGGCATGCTGTTCTTCTCAAGGACCTTTCGTTTTAACTGGTTGACTTCCTTGCTGTTGCCGGCCCGAGGAGCAGCAGCGGTAGAAGAAATCATTTGGGAGCGAATGGCAGACGTGACGTTGGACTGTTGCAATCCAGACGCGACAGGCTCACCAGCAATGCAACGGGGCATTGCTCGGATGCTAGCCTGGGCGCTGCCAAACATGGGTGGTTGGCCATCGGCTGTGCTGCAGCGCTTGAGGGGGAGGGCCTTTGGCGGGTCAAGTGGTTTTGCGTCATCAGTCTCTTCCTTGGTGATGACAGCGGGGGCACTAGGACGGCGGGCGAGGTTGTTGTTCTCAACAAGGGCGTTCTTCTCTTCCATGGCAGAGACTGCACGCGTGCGCGGGGCTGCTGCCGACTGTCTACGGCGCGCTTCCTGCTCTTCCTGCTGTCTGCGGCCGAAATGGGGATCCTCCACAAACGGGCACTTGCCATTACCGGAGGCGCGGAATTGCGGCCACTTGCCCTTCTCTTTCTCGACCTTTTGGTATTCTCGGATCATAACTGGTCGCGTGACCTCATCCATGTCATGGACGTAGACATAGTATCCACGAAGAGGAATCATGTCTTGCGAAGCCATGACGTAGTCGCGATCCAACTTTTCATTTTGCAGTAACCTTTGTAGATCAGCAGGGCGGCCTTTATGCTGCGTAGTCGTGCTTTGACGCGTGGGGTGGCTGGATACATCTTCACCCGTCTCCTTGTTGAACATGGTATCAATCATTCGCTGCACCTTGTCCACAGACCATATCTTCATCCCCAGGCTCTTGGCCTTGTACAGGATATCACCACGGTCCGACTTCTCAAGGGCAGCATCGAACACTGACTTCTTATTTTCAAGCTGGGCGGGATTGACAGTTCCTTTGTGAGCGGAGGAGCTGCCGTCAATGTCGACGGGAATAGTGCGCGTAGTTATGACATGGGTGACTTCTCGAGAGAAAAACTTAACCTCGCGCTGTATAGTATTAGCAATGGGAACGTGACAGTAGGGTGAGTACGCGTACCGAGCCGAGAATGCGGGCTCTGCTCATAAGCTTGTCCTTTTGCGGATCCGAGACACTGTCAAAATAAAAGGCAAACTGCGGAAAGAGCTTGCGATAATGGCGCTGCCATTGCCGAATGGTCTCCAAGTCCTGGGCGGCTCGCTGTGCGGCCTGCTTGGTAGGGGCCTTTGTCTCTCGTGCAGCTTCGAGCTTCCGGGTCAAGGCAGTTGGTTGGGCCCCACTACGACGCACAAGGCCGTGACGACGAGCCTCGGCATCGTCGACCTCGACCATCTGCTTCTTGGGCGGTGGCTGGCCATAGGTTCCATCACGCTGCTCGCTGGCGTAGGAGCGTTGGCGCTTTCCTCCGATGGCTGGGGCGCGCATTGGGGAGTTTGTTGCATTTTGAATATTGGCGAGAGGGACGCGACGGCTCGACATGACTGTAAGAACCTGCGGCGAGGGAGGAAGAGCCACTGCTGCCATGCGTAGTTCGCTATTAACAGCAGTGGGTTAGTGTGGGTGAATGGTGGTACAGGATAGGCTGGCGGGAGGGGCAGGTGAGCGTGTGATGGTGGTGGCAGCTCACGACGCGACGAAACAGGCACGTCGATAGGGTTTTCAGCAGCGCGTAGCGGCCATGTCGGTATGGTAGAGTGAGCGAGAGGCCAGGAGGGAGCTGTACAGGAGCGGATTGAGCGAGGGAGAAGCGCGTCTGCAGGCCAGGGTCTGCGTTCTTTGACCAAGGAAAGAGAGAGTTTGTTGTGGAGGCTGGTATGATGATGGATGCTCGCTGGACGCTAAGCCGCATCTGGCACTAGCTCTTAGGCGTCGCGCGAACCACGCAAATAATCTGCCTGGCAACCAAACAACCGAACCCTTGCTGTCAACATCGTCCATGCACGACATGCTGCTGCGAACACACTAGCCCTCCGCCACCCCCATCCTGCCTGTCCCTTCAAACACCTGCTCTCGACGATGCTATTGGCACGCGTCTCTATGGGGCTTCTTCCTGCTAATCAAACCACGACACCCCTTTCCCGTAGCCCGAGTCTTCATCAAACGTATGTTAGGGGCCTCTTTGACAACCCCTCTTGGCGTCGGCCCTTTGTTTAGCCAGCATCTGCCTTCATGGCTACTGTCTCCCCCCGTGTTCAATACACTAACGGCTGCTCGCCCTCATCGTTCGTGCCTCCCGAGGCTGTGAACTGGATCTCCACTACCCGGTTACCGTCGTGATCACCGTCGTCCCATGGCTCAGGTGGTGATCTGACCTATCCGACAAACCATCCGGAAAAAGGAAACGCTGCTGTTATATAACCCCAGGCGTTAGCCCAGCCTAGGGAGGTTTCAATGTTACTTATCCTGCCCTCGCCATGGGAAATGAATGGCTAATTGATGCTTATCCATGGACATGTCCCCAGTTACAGCTCATAAAACATATGCATCTGACACACACACCCAGCGAATTACCCCTTTGAAGGTATTTCTTCTTTTGAAAATGCACTACACTGATGTCATCACTCCACCTCAGGAGCCTGCCAGGCCCCATACCTCAAACATTGATCGAGTCCTCCTGAACTCTTGTCGTCATCTCGATTTCGGTGTCAACTTTCCTTTCTCCTTGATTCACAATGGTCGAAACTTCCTTATGCATTACACAGTCCGGGCTGACTATGTCGTCATCTCCGATAAGTGCAATCTCTGAGTAGACTGCTGGTCAAATGGAGACACGAAATTATATACGGGTGATGAGCATTTACCTACAAGGCCTTGCAGGCGCTGTATGCAAGTATTGCGGACATCTCCAGAAACTCATCCACGGAGTCAATCGCACTTGTGCCAGCGCATGACCACAACAATATAAAGAATGAACATGGTCACATCTTACACTAACAGAGTCGCAGTTGCATTGAGTCGATCTGATTCGAACGATTATTAAGAATATTAACGCATCCAAGGTCTGTCTCCTTTCATCCTTCTAGCTCCAACGCGACCGAGCACACGAACAACAACACAACAGACAACGACATGACACTCCCATCACCTCCGACCTACATATACAAAGAAGACAACTGGCATGTTGATCCCACACAGACGAGGGCTTGGAGAGCGACACGCTCACGCATCTACCTTTGATGTTGCGACGGAAAGGTGCACACGGCTACCATATCTCCAGGCGCAGGATCGGCATACGCGTGGCACAGAGCGGGAATATGCACGTTTCCGTGAACTCCACTCAGCTACATACACGAGAAAGGCTATTTAAGGAGCAAAACACGACTTCGGTTGCTTACATAGACACAGCTAATCAATGCTGTTGCTAAATTTGGTAGGCACTTAGCTTGTAGTTCCATGTAAGCGGGGTGATAGCTCTACATAAACATAGAGTCTAATTATGTATAAAAAACATTCCATAAGTACTATGCTATATTTCATCCAAAACTCTTAATCTTAACTAATGTGCAGCAATATCTTGCTGATCTAAACGAGAGGAATCAAGTACAGTATGCTTGCAAATAGCGATTTTGTGAGACTCTGCGCAAGTTACGCGTCTCCTAGTTTGCTTTTATGCTCTATTCTATGATGTTCTCCTAGACTTATATCTATAGAGCATGCGTGGGAGAGATCTCAAGCTTAATAGCAGAACAATTTTATAAATATAGCACTAAAGATATGCCTCTCCTATGTATGTAGATCTATCTATGCGCTCCCTTGCTGTTGTCCTTGTGTTTATACTCGCTAGGTTGGCATATAACCTCTATTGAGAGTCTTCCAGTAGAATCATGCTTTTGGAATAGTGATATTTGGATCTTCTGTCTGGACACACAATATTATACTAATCTATCTCTATAGCCTTTCCTACTTGCCTAGCTGGCCAGCATGATATGACGTTGCTTTCCAGACCACCGGTGTGGTAGTCCAGAGATGGAGCGCCTTGGAATGCTTCCACCAGCGATAAGATAGTCTACTTTACACCTATTCATCTACCGGAGAAGCTAGGGTTAATAGGTTTCAACGACGATGGCTAGACGTAAAGACAACTCTCTCAGCCCCCAGTATTTCTCGCAGCTTAGCGTAGTAGCACCCGACTTACTTGTAAGCAAGTTAGTGCCGCTGGCTCATGGCACTACTTGATGCCACAATTAGACCCTGAATATGACATGTGCCAAGATTATGCTATACGAGAATGCAAAGATCTCAGCACGTGAAGGGGTCTGAAGATAAGGGGGCGGGAAAGATCGGGTAAAGATGCGCATGTGATACCGCGCATGTCCAGTTGGTCGCGCATGCTGTCAGGTGGTACATAGAAAGTCAGGAGAAAGACAAGACAACAAAAAGACCAAAGGTTCCGTTAAACTTTACGAGAGATCAAAGGCCCCGACATGTGACGCGAGTGCAAAAAAAAGAAGGATGATGGAACGTTGCACACACGTTCTCGCCCGATGCAGCTGATTGGTGGTCGGACGACTCGGCTATCAGTCGTGGAAGACCCCTGGAAGGTGGCGCTGCTTCAACGGCGGCGCGCGCTCAACACTTTCACATGCAAAGCCGCCTCGCCAGCCTTGGGATTTAGATTTTGACAGATTTGGTATAATGCAGTCTCAGCGAAACAAGGACGGCCGCTGTGCAGCCGCGAAAGCTCAAAATGACCTCTGCAATTCTTCACAATCGTCCTCACGCTTCCGTTTTGCTCGTCTGTGGTTCTTACTCATCCGCCGTCAATTGCTGGTGCAAGCATCGCGTGCTGATAGTGTAGGGAGCGTCTGCTAGCGGGGCCGTGGTACGACAAAATGCTCCTGACCGAATCGACAGAGCCACCTGTGACTACTTTTGACTCGGTGTCTCCTACCCAGAGCAAAGACAGCATCTTTCGGCCCAGCATGCTTTACAACGTCCTTCCCACCGTGGTGTCGAGTCGCCTGCCCACGATACCTTCGCTCCGCCAGTCTTTTGGCGATGTACGGAGTCGAACCTACTACAACAAATCCGATACCGTGATAGAGTTACCACAGCCTGTGACGCCGCCACCGGGGTACTCGACCATGCCTCCAAGCGAGACCGTTTCACCACACAAACTCTCTGCTGCTTTGGGGGAGGCAGAAGTCGATTTTGCCGACGATGTGTCTGAAGGCCAGGCTTCTTCAAGGGCCATGCCCTTGGTAGTTCCTGGTGCTCAAGAAACGCGCTCTGGCGTCAAATGGAGATATGCTGGCCTAGGTACGTCGCAGACGGTGCCTTGGGAAAGTTACTGTTGTTTACACTATATCTAGGCATAAGTCTATTGCAACAGGCAGCTCGAGAGTCAAACGCATCGTCAGGTGGCTTGGACGAGGCGTCTGCAACACTCATTCGACAACTATACGTACATGGCATCACCTATCTACTTCGAGGACTCCCGGCAGACCTCACGCAAGAGGAAAAGCTGAGTCTACAGGCCGCCCTTCCTCAGGACCTCGTAGAATCAGTCAGTGATTCAAACACGGGCGCGCTCGTACGTGCCACGCCACAGAGCTCCGACCCTGCACAGGGGCCGCCACAGAATCCTACCATCATACACCGCATTACCGCAGCGTTTGTCCTGCAGACGTTTCTCTTCCTGCAGTTTCTGCTACCGTACATTCGGCTCTTTCTTTCGCATGCGTATCGATTTGAAAGGAAGCACCGAATCACGCAGCGACTGATCAACACGAGTGTGGCAACTGCGGATGAATTTGGCCAGAAGGCGCTCAAGTTCTCGCAGGTTGTATGTCAGATGAACGATGGCATGGTTATCCAGACCTTTAACGATTTGACCATGTGGTGGATAACTGGCGTGACGGGAGGGGTGCAACAAGGCCTCGCCGAGGGTCTCCGAACCATAAAAGCGGCGGAAGGGCAGCGACACGCGGAGGTAGAGGAGGAGAAGGAGAAGTAGAGGGGTTTCTTTTTTTTCATACTGGCATTGGGGGCGGCGTTTGAGCATTTTCACGGTTGCATAGACATACGGCTTATGAATAGTAACACTCATGTTTACTTTGAGATTATTCTGCATTGTTGTTTTCCTGCGTTGGACCCTGAGCGATGGGATTTTGGTGGAGAGGAAGGGCCTTATCTTATCGGCGCGGGCGGGCGGGCTTTCGACTAGTATGTGGATTGTGCACGTACCCCATCGAAAAAGTGAATGGCAAAGTTTCTGGCAACTCGACCGTCGCACATTTCTCTCTTGTGCCAACCTACTTTGTTCATTGAGGCGCACAAAAAAAATACTTTCGTTCTTTTTTATCGCACACATTCTAGATACCCCTTTCATTTCTTCGGACTGCGTGCCGTCCCCTCCCCCATATCATGTTCGGCGCAGTAAGAAGATGCCCAGCAACCCTCTCGAGGAGTCTGGCAGCAATCTCAACCAGGACACTTCGCACCCCTCTCACTCAGACTTCCGGTCTTCTTAGGATACCGCTGCAGTCGTCGCGCCTCGCCAACGGTGCCATTGCCGGCTTCCATCACAGCGCAAAGTGGCAACAGATTGCGGCACAAGAGGCGGAACAGAGTGAACAGCAAAATGAACTCGTCACAGAGTTCCAGGATCTCGCCACTCGAGGACTCGTTCATCCCAATGTTATAAACACCATCACGAAAAAGATGAAACTTACGACCATGACGGACGTGCAGAGCAGGACCATCAATGAGGCGTTGAGCGGGGTGGACATGTAAGAATCTTTGCTTTGTGCATTGGAAATGTTATACTAACGCGCCACAGCATTGCACAGGCAAAGACTGGTACCGGTAAAACACTTGGTTTCCTCATTCCCATCGTCCAGCGAATCATCCAAAGCGACCCCAAACTCGGCGAGAAGCCTAAAGGCTACAAGCGCGCCAGACCCGACGATATCAGGGCCATTGTCATCTCTCCTACCCGCGAGCTTGCCGAACAAATTGCGGTTGAGGCCAATAAGGTAGTCTCTGGCACTGGTATTGTCGTCCAGGTTGCAGTCGGAGGTACACAGAAAAGATCCATGCTTCTGAAGACACAGCGTGAAGGATGCCATCTCATGATTGCGACGCCAGGACGACTATACGATATCCTGTCTGATGAGTACTCTCGCATTGCTGCACCAAAGCTGAATGCGCTGGTCATGGATGAGGCGGATCGCCTGATGGACGATGGCTTCCAAAAGGAGATTGACGACATCAAGACGCTTCTTCCTGACCCCGCAGAGGTCGAGCGCCAAAATCTCATGTTCTCTGCCACGATCCCTCGCGATGTCGTCAATCTGGTTCGCCAGACGATGCGTCCTGGCTTCCACTTCGCCAAGTGTGTCAATGAAGATGAGGAGCCCACACACGAGCGCATTCCTCAAAAAATGGTCTTGGTGGCTGGCTTTGAGAACACCATTCCTGCTCTCTACGAACTCATTCTTCAGCAGCACCAGAAGGCTCAGGCCAGTGGTGGCCGCCCATTTAAGGCCATTGTCTACTTCAACAGCACAGCCGAAGTCACGCTCGCGTCATCGGTATTCTACAAGCTCAGCGGCGGCTTCAAGCGCAACTCTCCTCTATCCGGCCTCCGTGGATTTGAAATTCACTCCAAGCTCACTCAAATGCAGCGAACAAGGGCAGCTGACGACTTCCGCTTCGCCAAGTCAGGCATTCTCTTCTCATCCGACGTAACCGCACGTGGTATGGACTTCCCAGAAGTCACGCACGTCATCCAAATGGGACTCCCTCGCGAACGCGAGTCGTACATTCACCGTCTGGGTCGTACCGGTCGTGCTGGCAAGGAGGGCGAGGGATGGCTCATCCTGACTCCTTTTGAGAAGCAAGAAGTCCAGCGCCGTCTCCGTGGCCTGCCTCTTGTCGATGCAACACACGAACTCGAGACTGCCACTGTTGACATGAGCCAGCCTGCTGAGGTCCCGGAGAACATTGGCAAGATTCTATCTGACTGCGTAGAGGCACACAAGAGGGTCTACCCTGACCATCTTGATGCAGCGTTCCGCGGTCTGTTTGGAAGCTACCAGTGGTTCGGTGATAAGCGAAGCCTGATTGAGGGTGCCAACCGTTTGGCAGAGTTTGGATGGGGAATGGAGACTCCACCTCCACCACCGGCTTTCATCATGGCTAACCAGAAGCGATCTGGCGGCGGCGGTGGCCGTAGCGGTGGATTCGGAGGTAGATCTGGAGGCGGCTTTGGCGGTGACCGAAGGAGTGGAGGATTTGGAGGCGACCGTGGCGGATTCGGAGGTGACAGGAGGGGTGGAGGCGGCTTCGGTGGTGACAGGAGAAGCGGTGGCTTTGGCGGCGATCGAAGAGGTGGAGGTGGTTTTGGAGGAGACCGTGGAGGATTCGGGGGAGACCGCAGGGGTGGAGGCGGCTTCGGAGGCGACCGTGGAGGATTTGGCGGTGACAGGAGAGGCGGGGGTGGCTTTGGAGGTGACAGGAAAGGAGGCGGTGGCTTTGGAGGTGACAGGAGAGGAGGCGGTGGCGGCTTCGGTGACCGCCCCAGAAGGGAACCTCGACTTGACTTTTAAGGAGGGAAGAACGAGGAGTGAAAAGGGAAGCTTTCTCTGAGTTTGGTGTCTTCCTCATGAAGTAACGGGTCACGCCTCTCTCTCTCTCTCTATTTCTTAGGGGTTTTTCTTTCTGTCATCATCATTGTATTATAAACTGTATACCCCCTCCTTTACCAAAAAGTCTTTTTTCCCTTTTCTCATCAAGTATTTTACGATTACTTCGCAGAAGGCATATGGCATGATTTGAATGAAGATCTTTTTTTTATAAGAAAAAAAAAACCAAGAGTAAAATATCCTCTACCAGTTTGTGTGCTCAAATTGAAAAAAAGTTTGACTTTGTATATCACCATTATCCTTCATCCTTGCCCATCTCTTTCCCTCTTGGCCTCTTTCTATGCCCAAAGCAGCGAAAAGAGAAAAAGAATATGTATATTCACAACCTCCTCCCCTGCTCACAACAAATCCGCCTTCTCCCTCTCCTCCTCCACCACCCTCTCAAACTCCTCAAGCTCGGCTTTGGGCATGGGATACGTATGCCTCTCCTCTGGATAAACCCTACTCTTAACCTCATCCCTGTACCTCTCGAGCGCCCCCAGCGCCTCGCCCCAAACATTGCCATATTGCTTCACGAACTTTGGTAGGAAGCGGCCTGGCGGGAAATTGCCGAGCATGTCAACTTGCACGAGGACCTGGCCGGAACACGCGTTTCCGGCTCCAATGCCTATGGTTGGGATGCGCAGCTGGCGCGTTACGAGGTCTGCGACTTGTGCGGGGACGGCTTCGAGCACGACTGCGAAGGCGCCTGCGTCTTGGACGGCGAGGGCGTCGGCGAGCAGCGTGAGTGCGGAGGCAGTGGTTTTGCCCTGGACGCGGAAGCCGCCGAGGGCGTTTTGGCGCTGGGGGGTTAGGCCGATGTGAGCAAGGACGGGGATGCCAGCGGATGTTATTTTAGAGATTGTGGGCGCCATTTCGGCGCCGCCTTCTAGTTTTACGGATTTGACGCGGCCGGTTTTTATCATGGTGATGGCGGAGGTGAGGGCCTGGGTGGGGGAGATTTCGTAGGTGCCCATGGGGAGGTCGCCGACCTGATTCGTTTTGAATTAGTTAATTTGACATGACTTGGTTGGGGAGGAAGGGAAAAGTACAGTAAAGGCGGATTTTGTGGCGCGCGCGACAGATTTACAGTGCAGAAGCATTTCTTCCATTAGAACTTCACTTGTGTCTTCCATGCCGAGGGCCACCATGGCAAGGCTATCGCCAACGAGTATCATGTCCATGCCGGCGTGGTCGGCGACATGTGCGCTGGGAAAGTCGTGGGCTGTGACCATGGTGATTGGCTCGCCCTTGCGGTAGAGTGCCTGCAAGGTGTTGAGGGTGACAGGTTTGCGTGCGTTTGTGGGCGGTGCGCCCAGCGGGGAATGCGAACTCCATCGGGCTTGTGTGGCGGACAGTGTGATGCGCGGTATTGCTAAGGGTGAGGAAGATGGTGGTGTAAGTTGTGAAGACACTCGCAGTGTCTTGGATAGCGCACGCGACATGATGGCGGCAACGGCAAGGTTGCAACTGTGCGGGTGGGATTTTCCAAGGGGAAGAAAATGTGTCGCGGCAGCGGAGAGAATAAGGAGGCAGGGTGGTCAGCCATGATTTAGTGCGGCGAGCGTTCTCTTATGCTTTGGGACATTGTGATGATATCTTCAGCGAAGTTCTGAGCAGACGTTGTTTAGGATGAACCGAGGATCATCGTTGGCCGAGACAGACAGGGGTGCGGTTGGCGCCTCTCTGGCAGACAGGTATGTAATCACTGTAATTCCCCGAGTTGAATGCCGAATACTTAAGCCGTCAGCAGTCTTCAGCAGCGGGCTTCCTGATGTTTTTCCCCCTCCTCTTCTGTTTTGCAGCACATGTTCTCGGTGGGGTCGTCGTTGTGGTGGTCGTCGGACAAGCGGTGAATTGATGGGCGCAACCTCGGAGAAGCTGCGGCATTGCTCCACACTGATTGGGCCATGCCCCCCCCCCTTGGACTGCCGGAAACGGAGTCCGAACAAGACAATATAGACGAGTCGAGCAGGCTTGTGGCTGAGGCCTTGCAGTATTTGTTCCCTCTCTGCCCATAAGGTCGGTAATGCTTTTGCATATCGAGTCGAGTCATGCAATAGAGTAATGACCGGCTATCCAAGGGGTCCCTGGACTGGCTGAACGATGCATGGATGCATCAGTCGATCATGTCTGAGTACATGCATAGCTTTGATGGATTTGAGTATGTATCATAAGAGAACATGCGATCTGCAATGCAGCTCCTTATACGCATAATGACTTTGGTTGTAAGAACTGTCCAGTCTCTCGCCGCAAGTAAGGGTTGTGTTGACATGTTCCAATACCTGGTTGGTGTGCTCGGACGTTGAATGAATATCGCCAATGAATGTCGCCAGATAGCAAATCGTCACGCATCCCAGCGAGAAGGACTGCACAATAAGGTGTGTTTGAAGTATTTGATCGATTGCTCGGCAGCGTGCGACGTCTCGCCGATGGCTGGCCCAGGTGAGACGTGCGCAAGCGTGATACGCCGCCGCACTATCATCATCGCTCGTGATCTCGTGACGACTCCCTCATCTTCGTGCCTTGCGCCCGTCTGTTCCTGACTCCCAGCACGTTGCGCTCGACAAATACCACTCCAAAACCCATACACGCAACTCATACCGCGCTCGACCAAATCGAACCTCCCATTTGACCAACACACCACCTGCCCTCTCCTAGCCACGGCGCCCCTCTTCCGCTATCGATAGCCCCGCCGCCTACTCCACAACAGCTCCGCCGCCACTCCGCCCTGCGCGACATCGCTGCAAGCTTCCTACGACTCAGCGCTGAATACAAGCATTGCGAGAACAAGACCTGATACACTCGCCTATACACGTCCTGCGCCAAAATGAGTTCGCCAAAGAGACGTATCGAGACGGATGTATGTGGGACCTGAACCCCCTGCCATTGTTTGTTGGATGGACAAGAGCTAATTGAGCACCCTGCCCGTAAACACAGGTCATGAAGTAAGTCGCATAGAACCCCTTTGCGCATTACGATGCTAACAAGTAAATAGGATGTATGTCTAATAACCTGGCACCTGTTGCAGCAATTCGCGCCACAGTGAGGGCGACACAAGAATGCCAGCTGACAGCCCCTAGGCTCATGAGTGACTATGAAGTAACTCTAGTCAATGACAACAGTGAGCAATCACCCTTTCACCCCATGAGTACTCTCCGCTAACATGTCCTAGTGTCAGTTCATCTTACCGTCTCATCTCCCATGCGTCCACCTGCTGACATGTCATAGGCAAGAGTTTTATGTCAGATTCAAGGGTCCGTCGGAAAGTACGTCGGAATTCCCCTGTCTCGCGTACCGCATACTAACCACAGACAGCTCCATTCGAAGGCGGTCTTTGGAAGATACACGTCGAACTGCCAGACCAATACCCCTACAAGAGCCCCAGTATCGGCTTCGTGAACAGGATATTCCACCCCAACATCGATGAGCTGTATGTCTTTGCCTTTTATCATCCCCTCGAACCATCTTCTAACATCAAAAGCTCCGGCTCTGTCTGTCTGGACGTCATCAACCAAACCTGGTCACCAATGTACGACATGATCAACATCTTCGAAGTCTTTCTCCCCCAACTCCTTCGCTATCCCAACCCGACCGATCCTCTGAACGGAGAAGCTGCTGCTCTTCTTATGAGAGAACCCAAGAGCTACGATGCCAAAGTCAAAGGTATGTGCAGTGTCAAATTACTACTGTATGCGGGCCAGGAACTAAGAAATAAATAAATAGAGTACGTACAAAAGTACGCAAGCAAAGACACTGCCGAGGACTCTGACAAGGATGATGGCGATGATGACGAAATGAGCTCAGTCGGTAGCTATGAATCTGGCGATGAAGATGGAGCTGCAGGCAACATGGATGATATTTAGATGATCATACTGGATGTGACCTGTCTTCCCCTATAGCCCTTTTGTTTGCTTTCTCATGGCTGGACGTTCAAGGCGCTAGTGTGGCGCACACATAGGCTGGATTTCTTCATCTTTTGCTCTCTTGGACCACGCGGGTCGGGCTAATGACCTAGTTTTAGGCAACAGCATTCTCTGTTATGCTCCTTGTTCGTATATGAAATACCATAATAGTGTTCCTATTTAGTGTTCCTATTACGTGCATGATGCACATGTATTTGTCGTGCGACCAAGTCTTTGTTAACCTCCCTTTATACATTCGCCCACTTTCCGCTCACCTAGGTTCATTCTTGTTTACCTCCTAATCGGTCCTGCCTTTTCACGTATGTTTGTTAGCGGTATATTGGTCCTAGCCATGAACAACACCAGACGCCTCGCCCAGAGCAGCATGACAAACAGATGATATGCCGCTAATGGTATGATGTGCGGCTGTTTATTGGATACTGATACAGTAGCCGCTCGATGCTCCTACCAAAAGGATATCCTGTCATAGTGAGCGTGAAATAGCTTGACATCACAAGATGCCATATCGTTCCTTTCACTTTCACTTGACGCGTTTCCGGCATGTATATAAACCCCCGTTGCCAGTCCAACCCCTTTCGCTCCCAACAAATATCAACTTTCATAGCATATCCTTGCACGCGGTATTAGTTCAACCCCTCCTGAGCAAGCACTCAACCACTTAAGCCAAAAACAATGGCCCCTCGCACTAAGCATGAGCCCAAAAAGCATCACCACACCAACCCAGGTGCTAGAGATGGTCAATATCTCCATGCACACACTGGTGCCGGTGTCAATAAACCTCGCTCCGTCAGCGGTAGAGGTAACAGCCGTATCAGCCATACTCGTATCCCTGAAGAACGTGTGTTAGAGCATCTCAAAATCCACAACGAACACCATCATGGTAAGGGCGACGGCCGTAATGGCACCGGTAAACTTCATACCCAGCACCATCGTGCCCATCTCCCCAACGACACCGACCGCAGCGACTCAAACACCACTGCTTCGCGTGTTCCCATCAAGAAACACACCTCCAACTCCACCACCATCAACTCCCCCAACATCAGCACCAGCACAGTCACCCGCACCCGCACCCCCAACCTCATCCCCCTTCGCCCCCTCCTCCCTCCCCGCCGCCGCCCCATCGACCCCGTCAAGCGCGCCTTCACAAACGCTAACCTCCGTGCTATCATGGCGGATAAACCGTGGCCCAAGCAGCGCAAGAAGGCAAGTGCGGAGAAGATGGTGTTGAAGATGGGTATTAAAAAGGAGTATAAGTGAGCGCTTGACAGAGTGCTCGTTTATTGGAAAAGTGCTCGCTTAGTCCAGTGCTCGGTAGAGCGCTGCTTAAGGTGGAATAAGAGAGGGAGAGGGGTGTATGAGTCGAGGGAATGAAGCATGGAAAGGAAATTCATTGGGGAAAAAAAATTAAAGGGAATGAATGGATGAGCAAAGGGAAAATAAGCCTCGATCATGTAATTAGGTCAAAGTGAAAGGGGGACGAGAGGCTAGAGTAAGGGAAATTAATCAAGCGGTTATATATATGGTTCTGTAATTTCCATTTGGTGACTGGGTTGAGTGAACATGTGGGGGGAGGCTGGGGTGGTGGGGGGTGAATGTGTGGGGTCCAGGAGGGATGGATCTGGGTTAGGGCCGACTGGATCAAACTGCAAGTCGAATATTTCGGACAAGCTGGTGAAGTCGCTGGTTGCTAGGGTGATGGTCATAAGAATATAAAAAAATTGTAGGAATTGATTCGGACTCGATTCGAGCACTTGCCCTATTTATTTTTCTAATATTGACGGAATTTTACGGAGTAAAGTTACTGCAAGTTTGAATGCAAGTAGATCTAACTTAGTTTCCATCCACGCTCCCCAATCAACTAGCAGTCGCTCTCCAACATACAAATCATACATACCAATCACATCGAACACACTTCGACAATCACAAATCTACTCACTTCCTCGCCGCCTCATCCGCAATCAAAGCCTCAACATCCCTCTCCATAAGCCACGTCCTCACACTCTCCATAACCGTACTCAGCGTCTGCCCCCCTTGCATCACATCATCCAAATCATGCACCGTCGTCCCGCTCCTATGATCCGTGACACGCTGCTGTCCCCAATTGTACGTGCGGACTTTATCTCCACGCCCCATTTTGGCTACGCCAATGACGCTGCGACGCATATTCGCCATTTCCTCTTCACGTTTTTCGCGGCGGGATTGCGCGATGCGGGAGCGTAGGAGTGTCCAAGCTTTCTCTTTGTTCTTGTGCTGCGACCGCGAGTCTTGCATTGCGACTACGGTGTTTGAAGGCGTGTGTGTTAGACGGACAGCGGATTCGGTTTTGTTGACGTGTTGGCCTCCGGCGCCGCTAGCGCGCATGACTTCGACTTTGACTTCTTTTGGGTCGATGTAGTAGTCGCTTTCTGGGTCGTCGAAATCTTGTTCTTCAGCGGAGTTCTCTTGGAGACTGGGGAGTACGTGGACGGATGCGGCGCTTGTGTGTGTCCGGCCTTTGGTTTCGGTAGCAGGCACGCGTTGCACACGGTGGACACCGGCTTCACATCGAAACACACCATAAGCATTTTCATCTTCTACTTCGATGATTGCTTCTGAAAGCGGTACCCCGGCTTCTGTTGTGCCGTTTACGTTTTCGTATTTCAGGATGTTGGTCCGGAAGCCGTTGCGATTGCAAAAGGCCTGGTACATGCGAAATAGATCGCCGGCGAAAATGGCCGCTTCTGACCCGCCTGCACCAGGTCGTATCTCCAGCAAGCATGGCAAGTGCGCAAAAGGATGTACGGGTACCAGTGAAGTGATGAGATTTTGTGAAGCAGTGGCGAGCTGTGTTCGAGTTTCCGCAAGGTCATCTGAAGCAAGTGATCGTAATTCTGGATCGGTAGAAGGATCGTGTATCATCGAGGCAAGCTCTGCTACAGACTTAGTCCAGATCAGCATCCATACTGCTTGTAACATGTGTCCATCTTGTGCCTACCTCATTGGCCTTGTTCCATTCTCCCAGAGCATTCACAATGGGGCTGTACTCGCCCAATTTCTTCGCCGCACGCGTATTGAAGCCATTGGAAAGCTTTTCTGTAAGTACCTTGTGCTCTGAAGTGATTGCCTGGGCTCGAGCAAGGAGGGCTGGCGGTATGGATTCTGGTGATGCAGCTTTTGTGGTAGTATTAGTAACATGTCATAGAACATATATCCACACTACTCACCCGAGCTTTGCAGACGAACACTGCGCCTAAGCAGTGGCCTCCCTATTCGTGAAAGGCAGCCCCGACATATCCAGGGCGCTGCAAGCATAGTCGTGGACATGCGAAGGATTTGAACTGTGACGAAATTCTAAAAGTCCCAACGCGCATTCCGATCGGTTCGGAACGCAATGCACGTGACGTCGTCTCTCACAGCTCGCAAGGGTCACACCGCTTTAACCACCTTCCGCATGTATATCGTTCGCGTCTTGCCAGAAACGTCATGGACACTTATCGGAGGCCGCTGCACCCTGTCCCGAGGTACTTATCGAGCGAGATCGGCACTGCAAGCGGCATCGACCATCTCCGGGGATAACCGTCGTACATAAAAGAGCTATGTCAAGTACTACATTCATAAACTTTCCCTGTATTCATAGCAAAGAAAAAAGCTTCAGAAGCTGCCCCCAGAGCTCCAGTTACCTTTAGACATAATGCCGCCTACTCCACGACGAAGCAAGAGGACCAAGGCCAACCACGACCCGGAGCCTGAGCCTCAAGCTAAGAAGCAGCGGCTTGCAGAAGCTACTACTGTTGCAGGCAACCCAAATGTGTATCCTCATCCTGAACCCCAGTTTGTCCACTTCCCCAGCCGGCGCTCCGTGCTGCACAGCACAAAAGGCATCGTATCCAGCACCCAGCCACTCGCCTCAGCAGCTGGTGTTGAGATTCTGAGGAAAGGCGGAAACGCAGCTGTATGACGTAATCTATTACCCATTACTATGTGCAATATAACTCACAATTTTACCAGGATGCGGCTGTAGCTGTGGCGGCAGCTATCAATGTCACGGAACCAGGCTCCACCGGCATTGGTGGTGACATGTTTTGCTTGTACTACGATGCAAAAACGAAGAAGGTTTCAGCGCTGAATGGATCTGGCCGCTCGGGCGAGAACGTCACGCTTGAGAAGGTTAGGAAAGATCTTAATCTCGCGGATGGCCAGCATGGCCAAATACCAATGGATCACGTGCTTGCGGCCACAGTTCCTGGCGCAGCAGCAGGATGGGTTGACTGTGTTGAGCGCTTTGGTAGTGGAAAGGTCAGCATGGAGGATGTCCTCGCGCCTGCTATTGAGCTTGCGGAGAAGGGATTTCCAGTATCTGAGCTCTCTGCAACGTTTGTGAGTAAAACCAAGTGCTTTCAAGAAATGCCTGCTAAGCCTGTGATAGTGGGCAGCTAGCGAAGCTGACATTCGACGTGCTTCACCCAACGGCCATGAAATGCTGAAGAAAGACCCATCTGCCAAAGATGGCTGCAGGGCACCGAGAGCAGGGGAAATCATGAAGAACACAACAATCGCGAACACGTTCAAGCTCCTCGCCAAACACGGAAAGAAGGGCTTCTACGAAGGAGAAGTCGCGGAACAGCTTGTAAAGGTGGTGCAAGATCTTGGTGGTTACCTCACCCTGGACGACCTCAAATATCATGCGGAAACCGGGTCCGAGCCTGTCGACCCCATTTCGCTGAAATACACTGGCCAAGGCGTAGGAGAGAATACTAATGGCGGTATCGAGCTGTGGGAGCATCCACCAAACGGCCAGGGCATCGTAGCTCTGATGGCGCTAGGCATCATCCAAGAGCTGGAGAAGCAAGGCAAGATTCCTAAATGGAGCGTCAAAGACCACAACAGCACAAGCCATCTGCATGCTCTGATCGAAGCGCTCCGAATCGCCTTTTGCGACGCGCACTGGTTTGTTACCGACCCCAACGTGGTCAAGGTACCTTCAGCAGAGCTCATTTCAGAAACGTACCTGGCAGAGCGCGCAAAGCTGTTTAATCCAAAGAAGGCCATTTCAGCCCCAGTCCACGGATCGCCGGCACATCTGCAAAGCGACACGGTGTACTTTTGCTGCTCGGATCAAGACGGCAACGCCATTTCCTTCATCAACAGCAATTATGGCGGCTTCGGCACGGGCATCATCCCCAAGGGCTGTGGCTTTACGCTGCAGAATCGCGGCGCAAACTTTAGTCTGGACAAGGATCATCCCAATGTCCTGGCGCCGAGGAAGCGACCGTATCATACCATTATCCCTGGTCTGACCACGTATATCAACGACGGGAGCTTGCACTCTGTGTACGGTGTCATGGGCGGCTTCATGCAACCGCAGGGTCACGTGCAGGTACTGCTGAATCAGGAGGTGTTCAAGCTCAACCCGCAGGCTGCGCTCGACTCACCGCGCTTCTGTATCGGAGCCGGTATGCCGAGCGCAGACGGAACTATGACGGACGCGACCATTTACCTGGAAGAGGGCATTGACGCAAAGGTGGTCAAGGAGCTCAAGGCACTGGGGCACAGTGTGCAGCAGCTGAATGGTTACAAGCGGGGCATGTTTGGCCGAGGCCAGATAATCAGGCGGCATGAGGACGATGGCGTACAGGTTTGGAGCGGAGGCAGCGACATGCGGGGTGACGGCGCGGCAGTGCCGTTGTAAGTCTGTGTGTTGGTTGACAGGTGGCTCGTGGGAGTTGGGTAACGTCTAGTCATGAATTTAATGTCAGTCACGAACACAGTAACCGGTAACCATGGTCTCGGAGACTTAATCAACGGGTATCGTATTTGCTCTATATTTCCCTGCGTCGAGTCAGCGCACGTGTGCAAGGCAGCCAATCATTGTCCTAATGGCTTTGTCTTGCCATTCCTCTTCCTCCAACTCCGAACTCCGTTGTCAATCTCCTCTATTGTCACACCATCTCTGATAAGTTGCATTGTGACGCCTAGCACCTCTACATTTTTATTTCGAGCCTCGTCGTCAAAGAAGAGCATGCCTTCGTACTCAAGGCCGCTGTCCCTGTGTATGCGCTCAAAATGTGTCGTCTTGTTGCCGGGGTATATTTGCAGGTGGTCAAAGTAGTCGATTGCGCGGGATGAAGAGCCAGATGGGCTGAATATCTTGAGCAGCTTCAGCATCTCGCGACCGAGGTCTGGGGCGCAGGTGCGAGAGGCAGCGCCGATGAGAATATCCTTGGCTTTGAGCTATGGCAACATGGTTAGTTGTGGAAGTGGTCAGATGGGGGGGATATGGAGCGGTCATACTGCTTCCAGGATACCCCCGACGTCACTGTAAAAGCCGAAGCCCTCGCCATATCGGTCCTTTGCTTTTAAGCCGCCTTCGGTAGGCTTGAGCGGGGCGGTAACATGCGTGTCCACCCAAAATGGCCAGAGAGTGTAATCGAGGTCGAAGACGACTATTTTTGGAAGCGGCAAGCCATCTGTGAATGTGGCTGGCCATCGGACCTTTGCTGAGGAAGCTGTGGTGGTAGTGGTGTCCGAAGCGGGGGTGCTGGTTGAGGGAGCGCGGCGGGGCATGGTTGATGTTGGCGGGCGCACACAGTAGTGTACAGTAGTGGTGGTGAGGGTCTTGTCAGTAGGATGACAGCGGAAGGGGACGCAAGGGTTGTTGGAGACAGGAAGTGAGATTCGGCCAGATTGGGTGTTTTAGTCTAGGTAAACAGCCGCGTGTGGCGCGTTGGTCGCAAAAGAAGAAAAAAAAGATAGGCGATGACGTAGACGCGTTGAATCGGCGTATCCAGGTATCAGGTAAAGTGCTGATATCGTAAACAGATAAAAGGATCACTGCGCCGTACGTACTCTGTGCAGGTACGTATTTCGCATTTCCCCGCAAAAAAAGCTCAGAGACACAGGCCCTGGTCTGTTAGGTGCTTCATGGAGAACAGCCATATATTGCCGGCGCAGCACATGGGCCTTCGGGTGCAAGTATGGCGGATGCCGATTAGATAAGGAATAGCCGCGACCAAAAAAACAAAAGGCAACGAACAGGGCCTGAAACGACAGGCAATTTCCAGCAGGTGATTTGCAGCAGAGGATTGGCGGTGACGGGGGCGAGGGCGAGGGCGGGCACATGGCTATATCTAAGTGTGCCATCTAGTAAACTCTGTTTGTGGTTGAGGAGGATACTAGGCAGTGGGCCTCGGCTGATATGGGGAACGGATGGGGATGGTTCGTATGGATATGAGAAGTTTCCAAGACGCCGGTTGCTGACCACATGTGTATTACGTCTTCGCATAGGCCAGGCGCCTATTGGGCGTGCAATTGCAGCAAGGCTTCACAGGGCACATCCAGGCAAGTAGGCATAGGCATGGCGAGAGGGCGCCCAGCTGTGCATCCATATGAAGATGGCTGCAGTGGGCCGACATGGTGCAGCACTGGTCTGGCGCACCTTCCCCTTTCAGTCGGCCAGCCACTAATACGTACCAGCCCCGCAAATAACGGGTGCCGGAAGGAATCCCGCCTGACTTGTCGCCGCGGCGTCAGCAACCCTTCTACTACTACACTCTTCTCGCACGCACACAAACACACATATTACCTGCGCACTCATGTCGCTGTAATCCCGCCGTCTCCAGGGCCTCGATGGCGGCAACAGGTGCTCGTTGTACACTCTCCAGTCGCGATCAACACCAGGTCGCTTGCCAGTTCCTTGTCACCCCTCCGCAATCTCCGCGCGTGCACTTTGCACCGCTGCCAATTACTACGCAGCGGCCCATTGACCTCCAGCACAGCACCGGGTGACACCTCGCCAATCATCCGCCACAATGGCCGACTTCAATGAGACAAGATCTCCCCTCACAAACGACAATGTCCAGGCCTGGGCCCGCCATCACTTTGCCGCGCCTTTTCGCGCTTTGCCGCGTGCTGCCAGGCTGCAATGGATCGAGTTTGACGAGAGCTTTACAATCAGCAGAGCCATATGGCGCTCTCTCGGCCGCTCTACTCACAAGCAGCTACTCGTCATTGGCGGCTATGCCCCAGGCCCCGCCGGCGACGACGATGAACCCATTGACCGTGTCACAGCCCACGTTCACGAGGACGAAGCAGAGGTCAGCTTCTATCGCATCACCGAACTCGAAGACGGCAGCAGTGAGCTGTTGTCGGTAAATAGCACCAGCACCGTTGCCTTTCATGCTCCATTTTGTGACGTCGGTGACGATACCGGAGGTTCAAAAGCAATCCACCGCGTATCTGCTCTCATTCTTTACTATTTTTTGGCCGCAGGCCACGTGAAAGAGCTATCTCGCACACGATCAGATCCTACAATGTTTACCAGGAATTTTCGCGACGCTTGTCTGTGGGTTCAGAATGAAGGCGAGCGACCGTTACTACCACCCTCAAGAAAATCAGAACCTTCAACACCATTTGAGAAGGATCCAATTACTGTCCGACCCAAGCGGTCCTCCACTGTTTCAACAACCCGTCCCGTGTCTGACGAGTATCACCATCCTCCAATGAAGCGCGCAGCGACAGACAGCTCAAACATTAAAATTAAACGCGAACGCGACGAAGACTACCCAAACATCCCTCCATCCGCTATCCGCCCCAAAAAGCACCCCAGGCGCACGCTCAGCGAGCAAATCGTTGTCCCCTCGAAACTCCAGGAATCTACCTCAATAGCATCATCAGGATCCATCCTCAGCCCACGCAGTCCCGCTCCCGAGCGCGTCAACCGCGCCCTAACCGACCGAATTAATCACCTCAAAGACGAAAACGCTGGCCTCAAAGCCTCATTAAATGGCCTTGAATCAGAAAAATCTGACCTTCAACAGCGCATGGCCCGGGAATCCCACGCATATCGGAACATGCAAATCGAATCCGACGCCCTTAAACGCGAAGTAGAGGGTATGAAGCGCGAAATGAACGCCATGAAAGAGCGCCTCGAAGGCGTCGAGTCTTCTGGCGAAAAGATGCGCCTGGAAGTGCAAAGATTAGTAGCGGTAGAGAACGCGAGTAAAGAATTCCGAAAAGAGCTAAGAAGCGAAGTAGACGGGTTAAGAGGACGCATCGAGCGAAGCGAAAAGGAGGCCGAAAACGCAAAAGAAGAGCTATTGGCTGTGCGCCGGGGATTAACTAAGGAATTGAGCGAAGCAGTCCAGAAATGGGGTGCGTGAAGAAGAGAGAAGAATTCATGACTTGGATACGTTCGGAAATGTATGGGCAAAGTCTTTTCTTTTTCTTTTTCACGCAGCCTATTGTTCTTGCTCTGGTTTCTTTCCTGTATCTCTCTCCATCTTTGCTCCTGGTCTGGTCTGGTCTGGTCTTGTCAGTTTAGACGCGGTATCCGCGCTACGATCTCCCCGCCCGCCGTATATTTCGCCGGGAACCACGCCGGGTGGCGGCCTTTTCTTTTTTTTTTCATCCACCAATCGGAGTTATATATGGTACTCTCCCGTGGTCCCCTTTTATTTATTTATTTTCCAATCTATTTCTGCGGGCGTTTTGTTATTCTTCGTATTCTTGCTCCATCTATCTTATTGTATGGTCGTGTTCTATTCTTAGTATATATGAAGCAAGCGGCATTTCGTCCACATCATCATCGTCATCATGATTGGTTAGGTGTAGGGAGGACAAAGGCGTATGTATGCATGCATGTATGTTTGTAAGAAGCAAGTATTTGGGTTAATTTTTTCTTGTTTGAAGCCTGGTTAACAAGCTACGTATGGAGTTGAATGGAAATCGTTTTCAAAGAACATTATAATTTTAGGTCGAATATATGTGAGCAGGGAAAACAATGATCTACCACGTATTTAATATATGTCCATATACACCCCTAGTCTATCTAATAAGAAAATGAAACTAACCAAACCTTGTTGATGCAAAATCTATACTCCTCTTCTGGAAACCCCCATCTACCCAACTCACAATACACTCAATCCCATTAAACACATCCTTCCCCTCACTCACACACACCTCAACTCTTCTGCCCACCTTGCTCCCCACGCACTTCCCGCTGAACCCTAGGCATTTTGACCGCGTACTTTGAACTAGCAAGACTAAGCTTCGCTTCACTCCCCGTCACACGTCTGGCAGCCGATGTAACATTCGGAACACTAGCATCACGCTTAGAGCGACGCTGTCGATGTGCAGAACTAACAGGAGCAGCAAGAGCGTCATCAGTGTCAGTATCAGTATCAATCTCACTGTCCGAACTATCTTCCTCAGACGAAGACGACAACGACGATGACGGCGAAGAAGAAGAAGAAGAAGAAGAAGGGGAAGACGAAGACGACGCAGGTCTCATCTTTTGACGTGAAGTCTTGGTAAGTGGGGTCTTGCGGGGTATTCTGGGTGAAGTAGGCGGGGAAGACGACGAGGTGCGGGAAAGCGGGGTGCGTGTTTCGCTTGACTCGACGGTCGAGGCTTGGGATTGCGAGGGGCTGGGTGGGGGAACGATGGGTGTGTCGTCTAGATCTATGAGGTTGGGGGTTATAGTACTAGTAGATGATGCAGCTGAGTGTTCAGTTGATCCCTGACGAAGCTTGGAAACGCCACCATTACTACTACCACCACCACCGATCTTCTGTACCTCACCGCCGGGTGTATATCGATCTTCGAATCTATGGGCGCGAAGCGTCATTGCATCCGTAAATGATCGGGCGGATGGAGGCATATTTTCCTCAGAAGGCGGCTCCAGACCCTGACTGCTTGCTCCTCCGCCTAGTACTTTGCGCTGCATCCACGTTAGTGGCTTGGCAGGAGACACTGCATTTCTCTCCCTCCACCAGCGGGGAGTGCCGCGGGTGAAACCTAGCTCGCGGAGCTTTTCGGTTCCAGGCATTTCGTGCTTGTATTTGCACCCCGTGTGCATCCATCTGCATTCGCCGGTTGCGATCCAGTGCGTGCAATATACTTTTTTCGAGGGCTCGGGGCTGGGGTTAGAGTGGTTGTTGTACCCTGATCGCTGGGCTTCCCTCTGGTACACTGAAGCCACGGCGTCGGCTAGCGACGACTGGCGCTCGGAACCGGTGCTGGACGGCGTCCCGAGACAGTCGTATGGTGATTGCGGCGACAATCGGCCTGCACGACTGAGAGCTGTCGTTGTGTACTGCGACTCAGTCCGGACATTGTGGTCAGGCGCGAGATATTGAGGTTTCCCATCTAGAGAGCAGTGCGAAAGTCTATCGTTGGTAATGGGCGCTTGGACTGAGAGTACAGAAGCCGCGTCTTTTGTCTCCTTGAATAGTTTCCAGCCCTGGTCTGACATTTGACGATGCGTAAGTTGCCGCGGAATCCCCTTAAGTTGGAATGGTAGCTGATCGGCTGGTATGAGTGGCACCATGGTATTTCCGCGGAGAAGATAGAAACGGACATCTTCTGGTAACGAGCAGATATTCTGGTATTGGGTGGCCATGGTGGAAACAATACGTACTATACTGGTGAGTAAGGACTGCGGATATGATGACTGGATAGAGAATGAAAGTTAAAATGCAGAAACCAGAGGGTTGATTTATTCGCCATGGGAAGACTGTGCTTTGAGACAGCAAGCAGAAACATTGGACAAAGGCAGCAAACGGCTTGCCATCAAGGTGCAAGCACCCGACAGGCTGTTGCTGATGGCCGTTATCCGCACCACTGCCTGTTTCCATCCTACTTGCGGTTTATGCATGCTCAGAGGCCTAGATCCAGGAATGGCAAGCAAAGAAAGTCCAGAACAAGCAGAGAGCAGCTGTGCGAAGCCGACATTTGCCCGCAGCTCTCATCAGTGTTGGTGACGTCAATGGTGTACACATGACCCGAGGTGCGACAAGCTCCGAGACCTGCTAGCAAGACGTTTGACATGAGGCTTGGGAGAGGCTGCTAGTTATTCTGTTGGGTTCATAAAGTCAGGACCAGAGTTCGGAGATTACTCCAGGGCAGGTGGAAGAACGGTACGTAAAGTTTGCTTTGCAGCTGACTAGTAATCATCCGTAGGGACCCGGCCTGCATTGGCTCCGGCATTCATGACTACCGGAACGCTAAATTACTTGACAACACCACTCACACGGCACGGAACCTCCCAGCATAGCTGATGCTTTGCGGCTGACGACGACATGTCACTCTGTTCAGAGCTGTGATGAGCAACCCACATCTCCGCGCTGTCATCCTTGTGCAGATTGATTGGCGCCATGCTCAAATCTGCCGAAGCAGACTAACCCTTATGTACCCCAACACCAAGCTTGTTCTGACCGCGCTATCACCTTGGAAGTCCGATATTTGAGATTTTCCGTAATCGCCTTGGAGCGGTCTTACTGTACCAAGACCACCTTGCTGCTCTGGTACCTCCTCCTAGCCTGTTTCACAACACCCCACAGTCAACATTCCGACTGTATGGATAGGAAAAGGTCACTATACTTACAAAGTTCCCTCTTGTGAAACAGTGACCTCTCGGCAGTCGTTTTCTGGCACCTTGCGTCAACGCCCAATCCCTGTACCCCACATCTGTATACGAATGCGCCTCTGATTATGAGCTGTTCATCACTGCCCATCTACCTGTGTATACGGCTAATGAGGCGCTGATCAAAGTCATTGTAATGACTCGAGAGACAAGTATTGCTCATTCCATGCCATCCGCGAGTCAGTAATGAACGAGATCTCCGTTACTAGGCCTCCGCGGTTCACAGCGCCTCTGCCATCCTAGTCCAGGCAATGTGCCTACCGCTTGGCTGGGTCATGCGGTAAAGAAACCGAGGCTTTAGTGGCTGTCTAATAATCCTGCTACCCTTCCTCGCGCCCCCATCTTGTACCTTCAGGATCTTCTTAGAAGAAGAAAAAAAACCTCTTCCTCCTAACATGGACCTGTTCTAGCGAATCATGAGACGACGCGTGGTCCACAAAGCTCGACAACTGACGATACTAATCCAACGACGAGCTACACCACCATGACATCCGATAATCGGAAGCAAGAGGTCCTCGCCGTGGCAATCCTGTTCTTCGTCTTGACATGGGTTACTGTCTGCCTGCGATTCTATGTACGCCTGTGTTTAAGAACAATATGGGGGAAAGATGACTCGTACATGGTTGCAACACAAGTATGTCCACTACTTGCCTAGTAACGCTGCGACACTAACCGGACGCTACAGTTAGTATTCACTGTTTACCTCTGCTTTCAAATCGTTGCAGCGGTACATGGAACTGGTCGCCATCGATGGCATCTGAGCGATCACGATGCAAAGACCGCACTACTAGTCAGTCCTTTGCCTTCTGTTTCAATCCCACCTACTGACTCGAAATAGTTTTGGTACCTGTGTGAAGTCATGTATGTAGTGACCAACGGCCTTCTCAAGTTTTCCATTGGATACTTCTATCTCCGAGTCGCAGTCAAGCGAAACCACATCTGGTGCATAAGGATACTAATGGGAGGTACTGTCCTGTGCTGTTTGATCTATTTGTTCTTGGTCATGCTCCAGTGCTCTCCTGGTAAGTACACATTCAGGCCTTGTACGGCATTTGTGTTGATGATGTTCAGTCTCGGCATTCTGGGAGATACATCCTGCTTCAGACAAATGTATACCAAAAGGCCCAACCCTAGGCATCAGTTACGCTCTCGCCGCTATCAACGCCGCGGCCGATTGGATATTGGGATTACTTCCTTTCTGGATGGTCTGGGGCCTGAATATGAAGACGAAGACCAAGATCGTCGTTGCGTGTATCCTTGCGTTTGCTGCCATGTATGTTGTTCGTACCGTCAGCTTACAAAGTGCTAACAATTCATTAGTGGAAGTACAGGCACCGTCGTCCGCATGGGATACATACATACACTTTATGACGGCTCCGATTTTCTCTGTACGTATTGCGGTTTTTTTGTCATGTACATATGACAATGGCCTTCCATTCGCTGACTGCATTTTCTAGATGCCACGACCGATGTCGCTATATGGAGCACAGTAGAGCCTGGTATAGGCATCATAGCAAGCAGCGTCGCAACCTACCGACCACTGGTATATCACGTACTGCAACTTCTCGGCTTCGCAGATGCACCCTATGAGCAAGGCACATCCTTCGAGTACAGCAACAGAAAGGGCCGCGATTACCGCCGCAGCCTAAGTATATCAGATCTCGTGCCTACAGAAATGGGAATCATGACTTCACATGTCACAGGACCTGCTCCAGCAGGCTGGGGCGGCGCCCCACGGACTCCGAGAATTGTCATTCAAGACGACATATTACCGCATAATACTACGCCAGACGGCCAGATCTTGCAGACGGTGTCGGTACACCAGCAAACCGAAGGGCCACCAAAGCTCGAGCTGCGGACCAGCTTCCATAATAGTCTTGCTAGAGGCAGTATGTTCAGTCTTGGAAGATATCGAATACCTGAATGAAATAAACATACTTAATGTTTTGCTTACAACTATGCATAGATTTAATGTTTTGGATGAACATATCTCTGTGAGAGGGACTTCGTCATATGACATTTATACGTTGTTGGTGTTCAGATTGAGCTCAAAGCTCATCTATCACACACTCTTTGCATTAAACCAAATGCCATAACCACCACAAGTCGTCTCTACGGCAACACCAAACCCTCTGTTCCCTCCGAACCCACGCTCCCTCCCCACCCCCGATCCAAGTCTCCCAGATACAACCCCCCCAACTCGGAAACCCCTACATAACTCACTCCAACCTACGTCTTTCCCCCAAACCCAGCATTCATTCCGATCACCTTCCTCACCCCCTAATTCCCTGAACTCTTCCTCCCATGAACCTGCACACACCACTGCACAGCCTCCTCCCACGTCCCCTCCATATCCCTATCGTCAACCTCCCACCCCCTCTCCTTCAGCTCTTTTATTGCCAAATCACGATAAAACCACCAACTCGGCAGAAAATTCAGCTTCGCCAGCGCCGCAAGCCGCAAGGATGAGTACATGGCGCCGTACTGGCATGCGCGCTGCAGGAGGTCGCCGTGGCTGAGGGCCTCGTTCCACATGGCGTGTGTGATTTCGTCGATGCGTTTGCTGGTTAGGCGTATGGTGGTGGGGTCGGCGGCGGGGAGGAGCTGGGGGTTTGAGCGCAGGACGTAGCCGAGGAGGTTGGATTGGAGTTTGGCAATTTGGGCGGGGGTAGAGGTGGGCGGTCGAGGTGGTGGCGGTGCGGGTGCGAGTCGTGGGAAGGAAGGAGATGAGAAATCGTTTTGGGGCGGGTGAGTTGGTGCGGCTGTTGGGAAGAAGGGAGAAGAGAAATCGGTCGGGGACTCGCAAGTCGGTGCGTCCGGTGGGAAGAAGGAAGAAGAGAAGCCGCTCGAGGACTGGCGAGTTGGTGGGTTGGTGGGTTGGTTGAGGGACTCGTTCATGACCAGGCCGATGGAGTCGTTGAAGTACCGTTTGGTGGGCTGCTTGGGGGGCTGTGTTGCTGTCAGTTTGTTTCTGGCTTGCAGTTCCCAATTCATGACCTCAGCGTTGCTTTGAGATTGCGACTGGTTGTTCAGATGTGGTATATTTACGATAGTTCGTGGGTTGTTTGATTCATTTGTAGAAGCGTCCGGCGGCGGAGTCATATGGGCCATTGGTGCTGTGGGTCCATATGGATTGGTGTAGAATTGTTGGCGAGGAGAGCTCATCTGGTAAGGTTCCGTCAATTTACGTCTCAGTGACACTAAGAGCAAACTCACCTTGGCTTTGACCTTTCGTCTATTCACCACGGTCAGAAGAGTATCAACGACTGCTTTCCCACACTTTCGACGAATCGAAATCTTTCGTTTTTCCCGGGTTTTGTGTACGGGGTGACAGAAAGTGAGATGATTAACTGCTTTTAGGCTTCTGTAGAGTGAGTGAGCCTGGAGTTGAATTCACAAGCCCCCACACGACCTGAAAAGTGTCCTTTCACTGCTCACCATTTGTGGCTTTCGCTTGTTTCGCTGGTAGTGACGTAGCGTTTATTACTATAGTGACTATCGAGGTACGCTAAAGTGATGTGGATGAGAGTGAAGAAGATATGATGGTAAACTGTGAATGCGAAGCATGTGCAGAATTAGAAAGCCTATCAACAGATGTCCTGTAGGTATCAGACGACATAGGCAAGGTAGTGACTGCGATACTAAAGTAGAAAGTCAGGTCCAGCCAAGCATGGCGCAGGCAATTGCGATGTGCTAAGCCTTTCCCAGTTGCCTTGTTAAACTCTGTATGGAGCAGAGTTACTGCTGTAAAGGGTTTGAAGAAGGTGCATAGCCTCTGCTTAGTACATACTTGGACAGCTCGATTAATCCCGATAAGCAACATACTGAGATATAGATCAAAAAGATTGCATGTGCGATTGTCAAGCAACTTTTTAGTAAAATCAAAGTTGGATATTCAACGCGGTACGGGAGTGAAGGAATGATATGAGGTAAACGTGAAGCATATACAACTTGGCAGAATCAATCAAATCAAAAGGCATGTATATTTTGTACCCATGAGAGCCCAAGTTCAAGATAAAACTTAAAATCTGGGTATGATAGAATGACCTTCTTGTATGGTTAAATTCACCACAAAGATGGTACCACTGGTACCTGGGTATCGTTGATCCCAGAATAATCACACCACTATTCCAAAATTCCTCCCTTGCAGTAGAATATGGATGATGTATCTCATTCCGAACGCCTTGCATCCGTCACCGTGACAGTTTCTCGCAAAGTAGAGTTTGAGCCAAGGCAAAAACTCTAAGCCCGCCCGCGCGCATTCACCTTCCGCTTCGCTCTCGTCTTCTTCGGGGGTGGTGTTTTCTCATCCTCAGAATCGCCAATATCCTCTTCCCCAGACTCCATCACCTCATCCTCACTCTCTTGTTTGGCCTTCTTTTTCGGCCGGCTGTTTGTTTTCTGCTTCTTTCGGTTGGCTTCGAACAATTCCTCGGGCGGTTCCTCCATGGGCGTGGATCGCTTGGAGCCTCGTGATTTGGGTGCATACTTGGCCTCAAGAGAGTCAAAGAAGTTGCCTGCTCGTGCCTTTTGTCGTTGTTGAATGAGAGCTGCCAATCCTGCCATGTCATCTGTGCTACTCTTCTTGCTCTTGGGCTTTGCCTTCGCCTTTGCTTTTCCCTTGGCAGGCTCTGCCTTCTCTTCTTGTTCCTGAGCCTGCTGCTTGTCAAAGGCTTCGCGTCTCTTCCTCTCTGCATCCTTGGCTTTTTCACGCGTCTCGTCCGTCTCTTTCTCATATGCAGGATATGAACTGACCGTGCCATTGGCAATCTCTTCATCTAGAATCTTCCTGAACCGCTCATCGTCTACCAAGATATCGGATAGCATGACAATATCGTATACCTTGTTCAGGTTACCCTTGGTCTTCTTGAATGCATTGATCAAGTCCCTGCGCTCCTCTTCGCTGCCTTTGTATTCATCAGAAATCTTATTGATGGTTTCTTCATTGATGATATTCTTGAACTGCTCGCGGAAAAAGTCAAGCCAGTTGAAGTCCTCGTCTTCCAGGGTCTCCGCTGTACTGCCAGTGAGATCATAACGTTTACGCCTTCGGTCGTCGGAAAGTACTGCGTATGCGAATGCGATCTCTTGAAAGGCCTTGTTGGCGGCTTCTTTCTCATCGGGCGCAGCCTTGTCTGTAATTGTCAGTAAGGGAGAAGCCAAATATTTGCTGATGGGCCGTACCTGGATGACACTTGAGTGCCATTTTGCGATATGCCTTTTTCACATCATCCGCTGTTGCTTGAGACTCAAGGCCCAGAACCTCATATGGGTCAATAGTAGGTGGGCCTTCGTCACCAAGATCGTGCTCTTCGCCTTCGCTTTCATGATCATTGACGAAGTCTTCCTCCATAGGGTCTTCAGCCTCTGTGCTTTTGCGTTGTTTCCTCGCCATGTTGTTTGATTGTTGTTGTGCTGGTATGGGAAGTGGAGCAGTGTCAGGTTGGTAAATCGAGGGACGCGACGCGACAGTGAACCCGGACTTAGCGGAGCTAACTAGCCCCACTGTTCTCTCTATCACTTGTTGACCAGAACACGCATTATTTCACTCACCTGCCCTCACCAGAAATGTCAACATTACTCGACTGGGATGGCCCGACGCCTCCTCTGCCCGGCCCAGATCCCAATGACCATTTCCAGTACATGCGCCTTGCCCTTGATCAAGCACAGGAATCACCACCAAAGCCTTCAAATTTCCGAGTGGGTGCCTTATTGGTCGATGCGGATACTGGCACAATCTTATCAAGAGGCTATACTCTAGAATGCGAGGGTAATACGCATGCAGAGCAATGCTGTCTTTTGAAGTTTGCCAAAGAACACAATCTGCCAGAAGAACGGGTTGGCGAAGCCCTTCCTCCAAATATCTCCATATACACTACTATGGAGCCTTGCAATCTTCGACTAAGTGGCAACCTGCCGTGCGCAGACCGGATCATCAGAACCAAGGGGGCAAATGGAGAGCAGAAAATTAAGAGGGTCTACCTAGGTGTCAAGGAGCCAGAAAAGTTCGTTGGCGAGAATCAGGGAAGGAAGAAACTGGAGGAAAATGGTATCGAATGTATTCATGTACCGGGCCTGGAGGATAGGATATTGGAGGTCGCTACCGCAGGCCATGTGCAGTGAATAATTTTTGTATATTAGAACGCTCAGATCTACGGGTGTAATGCATGAAATCAGATCTTCACATGACATAGCAAATTGCAACACGGAAGCGCCGAAGGGAGTCGATCAATACAATCGTAGCAGCTCCAATATACGCAAAACATTAGGGCGCCAGTCGTAGTCCCGAAATCCTAATGGCAGCAAAATCCAAATGTATAATCCCGCATCGGCAGTACATTCCAGCTCAGCGAAATCCCCCGCGCTCTCGAGATCGTCTGGCTCAATCTCACCTGGGAAGACCGATGGCGTCATGACTATTTCTACACGAATGCATCCCACCACCAGCACCGATGAAGACGCATTGCGCAACCAAAGAACGCACACCTAAGAAGCAACCCATCGTGCTCAATGCTCCGGTATGACGCGTTTCTCAAATGCACGTGGTCGGGGCAATCCCAAAAAAAGGAGTTTCTTGGACACAACAGCATATATTTAATTCTTATCATTTACCCCGGCAAATCTCACTTGCCTTCTCACAATGCTAAGCTACATCCGCCCAGCTCCTAGCCAAACACTCCGAACATTTACAACACCCGCCTGCGCTCGCATTTTCAGACCCAGCAGAGTAACCATGGCAACTTCGGCTTCAAACATCAACATTGAGACCAAGGACGTGCAAACCGCACCAGGCGTCACCCTGAGTGACTCGCAGCAAACAGTCGTTCGCTCGGTACTAGACCTGTTCGCCGGCCGCCCTTCGCTACGCAAACTGTCGCTGTGGCGCGACGACGCCACCTTTGTGGACCCTCTTACCATTGCGCAGGGCCGCGGAAAGTATGCCGCACAGTGGTACGGACTCAAAGCCGCGTTTTCCGAAATCGAGCGGTTGGAGCACCAGGTCAAGGATGCGGGGAACCCTATTCTAATGGATCTCAAGACGAGATATGTGGTCAAGGGGATTGGCAAGGAGCAGGTGATTCAGAGTGAGGTTGTGATTCATTTGGATAGCGAGGGCAAGATTGAGAAGCTGGAGGATAAGTGGAATGGAAAATTGCCGGAGAATGTGATTGCGAATGTGAGTTTTGATTGAAAACGTATTATTAACATGAAATAAGACTGCTGACAACTTTTTGATAGGCTTTCCGACATCTGAATGCTGTTTCGGTACCTCTTTTGATCAAGGTACCAAAGGATGATGAGGAAGATGCAAAGATGGGTAACCTATGATCGAAGTACATGTATTCGTAATTCGTAAAATCGTAATCGCGGTTACTGTCTATTTGATTATGCTCCGTTGAACATTCTTCCGAGCGCAAAATGCATAAAGAATGCAACAATGCCTGCACCCGCGCTCAGCACCTTCAAGCTTGGGGCTCCCGCAACGATCAAGATTGTGCCACATGATCCCTGTTCGGCTCGTGGTAGATCGGGTCCATTCATGGTGATTGTGGCACAGAAGCCGCCTTGCGCAGGGTTTGGTTGGTGGTACACGGTGGTCTGAGGTGGCACAGCGTAGACTGTCTGCTGCTGAGGGTATACCGTCACGGTAGTGATTTGCGCGACGTTGACGACTCCTCCACATTGGTTTCCGTTGGGACAGCAGCCAATCAATCCGTTGGAGTTTGCGGGAACGGCGCATTGGTAATTTGACGGGCAACACCTGGTCCTGATCAGCAAAAGGGACCACTTTTGCACATGCTTCTTCTACGACTTACCAACTAGGATGGTCGACATTACTACAGCTTACTGAGGCGGACGACGGACACCAATTCTGATCTTGGGCGACAACTTGCTGACCCTCTGGATTCACAATATACACCGCCCCAGAGAAGGGCGCATTATTTGTGTACTGCTGCGGTACAGCTTCAGGTTTTGCGATCGGCTCCGCAGTACAAACCGTCAGCGACGACAAGAACAGGCTCCATGGCGTAAGGAATCGCATTGCGCTAACTAGTGAGGGCAGAGGCTGACAGAGGATGGATGAGACGGGATTAACGAGTCCTCACAACAACGAAGCGACTATGTGATTTGCTGTAAAATGGTCGGGTTAGTATTGCGACTCGAAAAAAGCCGGGACTCGAGGAGAGAAGAGGATTGGGAGCCAACAGTCAGTCGGGCGCGCAACACAGGGCTGCTACCTTGCTTATGAACTGGGCAGACTATGGCCTTGGAAGCTCTACAAAGAGCTGGGATAGCTCCGAAGCTTGCTGCATATGGAGCTAACTGGTCGCGGAAGACAGCATCATGCCGGCGCTTGGTGGGGACGCGCATCATCGGCAGCCCTGACTGCATCGCGGGTCTAGCACAATATTCAGTGGGTCGAATTCATTGCTTTTTTTGCGGTGGACGACGAAACGGCGGTGTTGCGGTGCGCTGGTTCTGTCGTGGTCGGGTGGATCCTGAATCATGCTTGCCGCCCAACATCTACAAGGAGAAAACTGCGTGGCAGGAAGAGGGTACCCAGGGCCCAAAGCTGACTCTTTTGCAATACGAAAAGCTTGGATTGGTCCCTGCAAGTGTGGCCAAGTCTGCGCAAGCCTCGGGCTTGGAAGCGGCACTGTCGGATGGTGTGGCAGAGTGAGGCGCATGCATGTCTGCGGTATGGTGAGTCTATGTGCGCGGATCATCCGGTAAGGTGGGGTCACTAAAGAAGTCTAGTCCCTGGACTCGAGGGAATCACGTGATAGCGTAAACGGGGCGTGCCTCCTTGCGCGTCGCGTGAACCTTGCTTCCATCCCACCTTGGGCATCGTCGCCACAATATGACATGTCAACGCTCCGGCCGACGCGCCCCTATCGACTGTACCCGGCTTATTGCTTTGGTGCATCTCCGACATTCAATACATGGGTGAAGCTCACTGTTGCCGATGTGCATGCTCTCCGGTCTGAGAAGGACTTTGAAGGTGATAGCCGCTACTATCTGACGATACACGACTGTCGCTGAGACATCCGCAGGACAGCGCATCTACTTCTATCATAATCACCCTATTCGATATGTTCGCATAGTCGGCGTTGTTGTAGCCATTGATGACATCAATCTCAAGTATACGGTCCTCACCATCGATGACGGAAGCGGAGCGATTATCGAGCTGAAGATTGTGCGGGAGATCCCAGCCGAGAAGAATCCCGTTGATACCTCCTCGCCCACGGCGATTGAAAATGTTGAAGTCATCAGTCGGCTCGGCGTCTTTGACGTTACAGTAGACAAGCACCCCGTGGACATTGGATCCGTTCTTAAAGCCAAATGCACGATATCCGAGTTTAGAGGCATAAAGCAGCTGGAGTTGAAGCGAGTTGCCCTTGTCACAACAACTGATGAGGAAGCACGCGCTTGGGCAGAGACAGCTGCTTTCAAGCAACAAGTACTGGCCAAGCCATGGCACATCTCCTCGAGCGAGCATAAGAAGATCAAACACGATATCAAGACTGAGAAGAATCGACAACGGGAATATGAGCGACGCAAGGCGGAGTATGAGGTTAAGAAGGAAGAACATAGACTGGCGAGAGAGGCTTATTATGAACAAAGAGAAAGGAGGCTCGAGGTTCGGCGCCGGAAAGAGGAGGTTGTGATGAATGCCGGTGCCTTGATTTGAGACATGGTTGGGTTAAGAGAGTCACTCGGTCATCAACCCCTGAATCACCTTTTAGCTTTTTATTAATCTCCTTGACGAAGAGCTTCTCACGACCCTGGTATCACTCATGATGTGATAAGTTTGGAGTTGGTTTGCCTGCAGCGTCACATGGTTGCATTTCTTGATGCACGAAAACCCCTCCAAGGACTGGCCACGATATGCAGCTAAAGCTGCAGTAGCAATGCTGGACCATCATATTTGACTAGTTTCTCCATCAGACCTAGTCGCTAAATCAGGCTCTTTAATATCTTCCAGGCTAATTGGGCGTCTTTGTGCATTCTGAGCACGACATCGGGGGCAAAGCGCATTGTAAGCGGGACCACACCCAATCATAACGGCTATACGTATTCTGTTAAATCACAGATCATACTGAGCCGAGTGGATATTAGTGCTCACCCATTGACGTCTCGATAATGGTCCACATCTGTAGCCACTTTGGATCTGGTATCTTTGGGGTGCCGTTGTTTGTACTGACTTGGACAACACGCAGAGTTGCGAACAGCTGGTATTGGATTACAAAGTTAGTTGAACTGTGATTTACAGGCTCTGGTCTTGTTCACTTACAATGCATATCCAACCACTGCCGAAAAGCACGAAAATAGCAGTCTTCTGAATTCTGGGCAGACGAAGGTTCCAGGTTATTCGGAACGGAAGAAACATAACTTCGACCATCAGTTCAGTAAGGAGCCTTGGAGAAATGAGAAGTCAGTTACCTGCAAGGTCAGTCGCTACATCCACCGCATATGCAAACCACAAGCTGAACTGAGCGCGTTTCTGTTCGTGCGGCTTAGCACATACGCCCTGGTCGTACTTTGCCCTTTGATCGTCGCATACAAAGATTGTAGTCAACGAGCTCCCGATGAAAGACTACGTCATTATTAATGAATTTCGAATAGGAGCGATCCATTCATGAGACTCACCAAGATGCAAAACCCTAAAACAACCCACCAGATGATAACATACCTGGGACCCGCCTTACTCACTAGAAGCCGGTAGAACGTCAACAGCGAGAGTTTCACAAAAGTGAGACATGCATAGAACAAGAGCTGCCCAGCCGTCATCCACCTGTACACCATTCCCGCATCGTGTACTACAGGCAAACCACGCGTCAGTCGCACTCCATCTAGCTAGCTGAAGAGAGGAAAACCAAAACACTCACAAAGTCCCTCGTACATTGGTCTTTCCCCTCTCAGAACACTCTCAGCACGATACAAAGGATCGTTTTCCTCCATGTACATAACTATCATGAGCACATAGCATACGTACGCCATGTAACTCAAGAGATCCTGTAACTCTCTTGCCTTTTTCGCGATGATCCGAAGAATGAAGCGGATAGCAAAGATAAGAGAAGTAAGCGTGAGCATAGCGATGTTAACGCCATCGAGGCGGGATCTACTGAGGGTATCTGGTGGCTTCGCCTTGGTCCAAACAACGTCATGCAGTTCGCTGGGTGCCATGGCGATGCGTTTGGCTTGTTTGAGGGGTACAGTTCTGGTAGGACGGTAAAGAGGGTTCAGTGTAGGATGTAATTGTGTATCTTGAGTCTAGGAACATGGAGATATGAGGAACAGATTCAACTGGGAATGTGGTTTGAGCGCTTTCATAGGAGCAATATCCGCGGAAGCGTTGGGGGAGGCGATTGACGCAGTTGTGTATGCTACTTTGTGGCACGGTATAATTGCGGCTTGCGCTATGACATGGGATTGATTTGCATACCGGATTGTTGATTATGTGTGGTGGACTAATATGTATGTTGTAGCAAATGGTTGCTGAAACTAGTTGTGAAGGCATCTCTGATCTAGTACGGTGGTCCTCCAGATTTCTGTAGTTTCATAGGCAGACTCTTCACTAGTATTAGGGATCCGGTGATATGCCCGGAAGATGGATGAATTTTGTTGCCTGCACGCAAGTACCTGCGATTTTGTTACCAGTTAATATCGTTCATTACTCTCATCCCTTTCATATTCCCGTTTCGTAAGTCGTATTCTGTTAACCAATAGACCTAGTTCCATCCCTTGCCTAACGTGTCAGCTAATGTTGTATTACAACCAGCAGTTGTGTTCAGTCCGCCGAGGTGTCATTAGTAAGCCCCGCTAAACCATGCTCGGAACGGCACGCACTGGGGTTGTCCACTTGACTACTTCTAGACCCATCTTTCAACCACGCCGCATGCAGCATCTATCCACCTTCCTCGTACAGCAGCGTCGATCCACCAATCAATCGCGCATGCAGCCGAATCTCATTTGTTCTGAGGGACCTGCATCTGGAATGCATTTGCCATGCAGGTGAACGCTTTATGTGAGGAGCGCCCAGCCACGAAACCTTTTGTCCTCTAATCCTCCGCCTGCCTTTGAAACGGACAAGGACTCTTGATAGTCTTATTGCGCTCTCCTCCAGTTCATCTCCAATATGAAAATTAGGGGCCTCCTCCCCCTAGGAGCTCTTACCGCAAGAGCAACCGCACAAGACAACAACGCGATCTTCGAACCCCAAGATTTCAACGTCACTGCAGCTCTCGAAAACATTGGTGTCGATATTTCGAAAATTCCAGAGTCTGATTCTACACTGAACTCGCGATCTTCATCCGCGCAATGTTCACATGCGGTAAGTCACCGGTATATCTCGAAAGAACAATACCGAGTCCTAACACAGCCCAAAGTGTACAGCTTTATCCATAATTTTCAGCTCTGACCAAGTTCTACCTGAAAATGCAAATTCGTACAGCAACTTCACTAGCTCATACTGGTCAGCTCAACAGGGCGCACTTCGTCCCTCATGCGTGTTTAAGCCCAAGTCGACGCTAGATGTGTCTACAGTAGTTCTCGTGTCAAGATTGTACCAGTGCCCCCTTGCTGTGAAAGGTGGCGGTCATGCAGCATGGGCTGGGGCTTCTAGTATCCAAGATGGCATCACGATCTCGATGGAAAATTTTAGGAGAGTAGAAGTAGCGGCGGATAAGCAGAGTGTGGGTATCGGGCCGGGGCTTCGCTGGATAGATGTGTATACTGCGATTGAGAAAGACGGTCTTAGCGTTGCAGGAGGGCGGGTGAGTTATCCAGTCGATTTTTGTGTTTTGTTCTTGCTAACAGCTAGTTGAGATGGCGCCAGTCGGCGTACCAGGGCTCCTTCTCGGAGGCGGCATTTCCCATTTTGCCAGCAAGCGTGGGTGGGCTTGTGACAATGTAGCAAGTTTCCAGCTGGTTACTGCCTCGGGCATTCCCATTAATGTCAGCGCGTCATCTTACCCTGATCTATATTGGGCGTTGAGAGGTGGAGGTAACAACTTTGGAATTGTGACAAATTTCAAACTAGATGCTTTCCCGCTGGGCGATATGTGGGGAGGCCAGCGTGTGTACTTGGAGAACTCTTTTCCCGCTGTTCTCGATGCGATCCACGAATTCACCATAACCGGATCGGTCAGAGATGAAGATGCTGCACAGATTGTTGTAAGTCTACATGCGTATCACTGACTTGATATATGGTGCTAACGCTACCAGACATTCGCCAGTGCCCCGGGCATCGGCAAGGTCGCTTTTGCAAACCTGCACTACGCCAAACCGATTACCAACGCCTCAGTCTTTTCCAGCTGGAACAACATCACCGCCATCCAGGACACCACCGGTCTCCGTCCAATGTCAGGAATGGCCAATCTTCTCAACGAAGGCGCTCCCGGACCAGGTGCCTACCAAACATGGTGGGGAATCAGCCTGAAAATGGACAGACAACTCCTCGATTTCATAATCTCAACTTTCTTCACCCAAGAAGCCATCACCGCCAACGTCGAAAAGATTCTCCTCATCATGGCCATCCAACCCATCACCGAAAGTGCCCTCAAAGCCATGCAAAAGAACGGCGGAAACGCCCTCGGCATCGATCCCTCCAACGGCCCTTACTTCATCCTAAATTTCAACGCCGCCTGGACCAAACCCGACGACGAACCAAAATTCCACGCCGTCATTGCGAAGACAATTCAGCTCATCAAAGCAGGGGCTCAGAAGAGAAATCTAGACAACGACTTTGTGTATTTGAACTATGCGTCGGAGTTCCAGGACCCGATTGGAAGTTATGGGAAGGAGAATAAGGAGAGATTGGTACGGATATCGCAGAAGTATGATCCGAAGCAGGTGTTTCAGTATTTGCAACCTGGGGGGTTCAAGTTGGTTAAGGGGGCGCCGAAGGGTCGTGTGCCAGATGGATTGTTGTAGAGGGGTGGGTTAGTTTGAGAGGGGTGGGGGCGGATGGGCATGGGTTGGTGTGCAACTAGAGGGGTCAGACTAGTTTGCTAGAAATAAATATACTAGTGATGATATAATCCGTATGTAAAAATAAGTAGAGCAAACTAAGGAATCATGGGAGAAAGTAGGCAGTGTACTTGTAAATGAAAAAAAAGATGACATGCTCGATTTACCTTGCAAATTAGTTATATTAGCTATACGGGATGTTTCTCTATCGTAGCTATATCATGTTATGTCTTAGAATTTTATGTAATAGTTGATAGAAGACAAAGCAAGCTTCTTTAGTACTATAACTTAAATCTCCTTACTACAGCGTGGAAATTTCTTTTTTAAAGAAAATGTTATTTAAATAGTGAAACAGTCTTTAAGTTTTCATTCAATTAGTCTTAGAGTTACTATTTTATTCTAGGAAGAGATTTAAACTCTTAATCTTGCGAACTTCTTAGCCTTGTGGTATAAAAGAGTTTTTGGTACGTGTCTGGAAGAAAACCTACTACGCCATGCCGCCTCCCCCTCTTTACCTCGCATCTTGCCTTGTGAACGAAAAAAAAAACCCCCAGTGTCAACAACTAGTGTAGTCCTATTTCCTTCATGCATTGTAATAATCACACCAAACCATCACTCAAATACATCTCAAAGTCAAATAATGAACAATAATCATAATAGATTTCCATTTCTCCATGGCACATACCCCTATATACCCGATTAATCTCCTAAGAGAAAAAAAAAGAAAATGCTCATGGCAGATCCATCCTCTCAACCTCCATCACTCGCATATCCCATCTCTATGCTAATATTTTTCCGCTTCCCTCTCATCCCCATATCCAAACCAAATGAAACAATAAACAGGACATCTATCGTCCTTAGGAAAAAAAAAAGCCAAAAGCAAAGGGGGCGATTCGCTAGACAATCTGTAAAAAAAAAGTCGTAAGAAAATCAACAAAGAATCGACGAAGCAAAAAGAAAAACCGAGTAAACTCAGCTTCTTAATGCTTAGGGCAGCAGCATACATGAGGTCCACTCTCAATAACCTCCTTGGTAGCTTCATCCTCGTACTTCTTGAAGTTCTCCATGAACAAGCGTCCCAACTTCTCCACTTCATCTTGCAGACTCGCGGTGCCGTTCCAGCTATTGCGGGGGTTAAGTAGGTCATCGGGGACACCTGTGCATTTCTTGGGGACCTGAAGGTTGAAGACGTCGTAGGTTTCGTATTCGGCGTTTGCGAGTTCGCCGTTGTGGATGGCGTCGAGGATGGCGCGGGTGAAGCGGAGGCTGCAGCGTTTTCCGCCAGTGGTGGCGCCCGCACCGACCCAGCCGGTGTTGAGGAGCCAGGCGTTGGCGTTGTGTTGTTGGATTTTCTCAGCGAGCATCTTGGCGTAGCGCATGGGGTGCAGGGCCAGGAAGGGTTGGGCGAAGCAGGTGGAGAAGGTGGCTTGGGGCTCTGTGATGCCTTGCTCGGTACCTGCCATCTTGGAGGTGTAGCCGGAGATGAAGTGGTACATGGTTTGCTCGGGGTTTAGCTTGGAGATGGGAGGGAGGACACCGCGGGCGTCGCAGGTAAGGAGGACAATGTTCTTGGGGTGCTGGTTGGAAATGCAAGGGATCTTGGTGTTCTCAATGTATTCGATGGGGTAGGCGCAGCGGGTGTTCTCGGTCAGGGTGTCGTCGTCGTAGTCTACAACACGGGTGACGGGATCGAAGACGACGTTCTCGAGGATGGAGCCGAAGCGGATGGCACCGAAAATATCGGGCTCCTTCTCGGCAGAGAGACCAATGCACTTGGCGTAGCAGCCACCTTCGATGTTGAAGATACCAGTGTCAGACCAGCAGTGCTCATCGTCACCAATCAAGGCACGCTTGGGGTCTGCAGAGAGGGTGGTCTTTCCTGTTCCGGACAGACCGAAGAAAACGGTAACATCGCCATCCTGACCCTCGTTGGCAGAGGAGTGAAGAGTGAGGACATTGTGCTTGACAGGCATCTCGTAATAAAGGACAGTGAATACCCCTTTTTTCATCTCCCCTCGGAGGAAGTTAGCATTGTTCTCGAAGAAAGAAAGAAAAGTATCAAGACGGTCATGAGCTTCGACGGTCTCCAAATGGAATCTTCCTTGTTCATGGCGAACGATTCCACGACGGTCAACATAGATCTTGTCGCAGTCATCACAGTAGAAGCGCTTCTCGGCGAGAATCTGAGCTCTTTCGGCTTTTGCCTTGGCCCTGAATCTTGCATTCCATCCTTTCTGCTGGGCCTTAAACTTGGGGGAAGCTTCTTCGCGTTGCTTCTTGTGGTATTCCCTGAGGTACGTGATGTTCTTCGCTCTGGTATCGTCGGCAATCTTTTGCAGTTCCTCCTCAGACAGCTCGATGTCTCCATCGATAGGTTCCTTAAGAGGGTTGTGGGAACAGGCGCCATTGTAGGTGAACATTTCTAGTGGCCATGGGCATATGTGGTTGAAGCCGTAGTCATGGTCTCGTTTGGACATTGCCCAGAAGCAAGAAGCAAAGACAGCTTCAAGAGCGACGGCAACATAGCGGTAGAAACGAATTTTGGATGCTTGAGGTATGCTACACCACGCCAAAAGTGCCTTGTGATGCATTTTGTAGCCATTGCGCATTGCTTTGCGAACGTTGCGACCTAAATGCTTCTTTTGCTCGTATTCGTAGAAGCGACTCTTGACTCCTCGCTTGGCACTTGTTGCGGAGCCAATGTAGAGCAGATCTGGATGGCGTTGTTTCTTGAGGATGATGACATAGATTCCCCAGACCTTGTCAGGTACCATCAGGGCTGAGAGACAAGAACCAGTCTATGGAAGGAGGGGCAGAAGCCCGCAAGACATTGAGGAGGCCATCAGCGAACGTAAAGCCGATGAGGTGGAAGAGCTCGAGAATGCGTTCCTCAGAAGGTAGGACGACTCGGAAGCGAGGATTGATCCAGCAGGTAACGTTGAGTGCAGAAAAAGGGAGGGGAAGCAAGATTGACAAGATTTCGCTGGTGGCGGAAGACATTGTGCTTGAGATCGAAGAGAAGCGAGAGAGTTGTGCGAATGTATTCCAGTGTGGAGTGAATGAAGCAAGGAGCTGCCGTCAGTGGGGATGATGTTTGGGCGCCGTCCATTCTGGAGGAAAGAGCCATGTTGTCGAACCCCACCTTCTCCAGATGTTCAGGAAGGCATCGTGTGTTGGAAGGAGCCGTCGAAGACAGTTAAGGAAACAATAGAAATCTACTCACCGGCGTACTCGGTACCGAGGATGACCATCTCCTTGTCGGCAAAGTTGAGGGCAACGGAGGTCGAAGAGGTCATGCCGCTGGTATACCTGTTGGCAGGGAAGGCACCGGCATTGTAGATGGTGTAATCGGGCTTGAAGTGCTCAAGCTCTTCCCGCGAAGGACGGATCAACATATTGCGCATGAAGAGAGCATGATAGGCACGGGCGCAGACGACGCGGACGCGTATCCTGTAGCGCTCATCCCAGCCGGCGAAACCGTCGACGACGTAGATGCGGTTGCGGGTGTTGAGGTAGTCGATAGCACGCTCACGGTTGATGCGCCAGACCTGGTAGCCATGTTAGTATGCCATGGAAGATGAATTGTAAATGAGAGCACGTGATGGCCTTCCCAAACGGGAACGGGAGTGTGAGTGCAAGTGCATCGATGGGGAGAATGTGGGGCAAGGCGAGAACCCCAGACCTGCGCCACGTGCAAGGATGCAAAGTCCCTCGGATATGCGCCTAGCGTGCATGACGTTTCGACGTTGATCTTCACAAGCCAATGCTTGCAATTTTACGTATTCGCGCCATTTTTGGGCAGAGCCAACGACCATACATGGGATGCGGAGAAAAGGACTTACGTCAGTCTTCATTGGCTTGTTGACAGGGCCCCACCAGACATCGTTTTTTGACGAGTCTTCTTCGACGATGCGCTTATCCGAGGGTGAGCGGCCAGTCTTGGCTCCTGAGTATGCCGAGAGAGCGCCTGATGCTGTGATGGCGGAACCAGTCTCGTATACGAGGGCATCTTCGTAGAGAGCAGCGACTGAAGGGTTGGCAATCTAGATGGGGCTGTGGTTAGTATTGAAATACCAAGAAAGTATTTTTGGTGGTGAAAAACTTACAATGGCTACACGATCATAGTCAATGTGTGCCTTGTCGTGAAGCGACTCTTCAATCTCAGTGTGTCCTTTGCTGGGACTGAATTTTTTAAAAAAAAACACAGTCAGCCAAGATATTCCTCCCAATTGATGTGCAAGCATGTAAAAACATGGGGCCAGACTCACAGAACACCAGAAGGGTGGAGGTTGGTCTTGTTTACGGATTGGGAAACCATGTTGAAGTTTATGATGGGGAGAATGGGGGAGACGGGGGAGGAATGGAAATGGGAAAGCTGTTGCTTGGACACCTGATGACGGGCAAAGTCTTGTGTCGAAGTGGGTTGGATTGCAGATTGGATAAGGGGGAATTGAGTCCTTTTAATAGTTGACGAAGATGTTCTGACGACGCTGCTGGTGCTGAGTCTGGCAGTCGAGGGCCGGGGAGGGGCTAGCGCGGGCGACGCTGATTGGGCGAGGGGCGGTGCTTGGATGCTGGCAGTGCCCGTCGGCTCACGAGGGACGAAAATAACGCGGAGCAGGGCTGGCGTGGTGGAAATGCTCGGAAAAGCCACTCGGCAAGTGGAAGAATGGGCTCCAGCTGTATGGCTGAAGCGGCTGGATCTGGGCAGCGGCATGGGGATGCTCGTGTGCACTGCTCTGGTCGAGCTGGATGGGACAAACAGTCGTGTGCGGTCACGGTTGTGTCATGGCCGTGGCAGACGACGCCGTCGCCGTCGCCGCCCGTCCTCGTGACGGCGGGCAGACGAGCAGACGAGCAGGCGGACACTCCAAGGCAAATGCAGCAGCTGAGATTGGTCTGCACTCGTGGGTTGCATTACCCCACATTCACCCCCGCCCCAAAGCGGAAAGGCGGCACAGCCT